CTCATCGATCTGCTTTTACGAGGCCAGTGACACTCGTTCGACGTTCGTTTTTACTCCTTTTTAAAAACTGCGCACGGCATATTTATATCGCGCACCACCCACGGTCGTACGCGCGTAAAGCGCGAATAGCATTTTTACGTCTTAATAAAAGGATACAATGGCGGGGGCACGCGCTAAATGTACCCGTACGCGCGCGCGCGTGCACATATTTCCAGGAAAACGAGTACACTCCAATGCGCAGCGCGTGCACGTATCCCGTCGAGCCGAAGCTTATGTCACGAAACGAGCGAAGCTATTTTAAATCGAATAGCACCTCATCGAGCCACGATCCTGTACACGTATACGGGGGTGCGCACGTGTATCGGCTTGGCTTTTGGAGCATCGATTAAGCAGCGACGTTTAGATATACACGTATAGCGCTACCATAAGGATCGCTATTATTATTTTGCCATGCAGCTGTAGTCTCGAGCACGCCATGACGTATACAGCACCCCTCGCGCGAGCACACATCTCGTCACGCGATGTGCATTGCACGCGTGTACGTATACTCGTGTATATATACGTATAGACCATCAATTTACCACGGGAAATATGTAGAAAGATAATCCATTAATGTAATTACTAGGAAAACGTACATCGAGAGCATATACACGGAACAGATAGGGAGAGAGCAAGCTCGAGCTTTTCGTTCGCTTTTTGCCGAACGAGCGCTAATATGAGCGAAGAACCGTACATTTTGATTCTTGCGCAGGGAGCGGGGGAAAATCATCGAGAAATACGTATATGTACCGTTGATTGCATTGCCCTCGGACAAAAGATTTCGAACATTTCAACCAGAAATAATGTAATTATGCCACGTACGTCCCTGTGTTATATTCAATAAAATCCAGCCGCACACACACGCGCGAGAATACACTTATGCTGGTATGTAGAGAGAGTAGATCTTTCCAGTTTAGTCGAAGCTTATAAAAACTGGACGAGATCCAAAAATTCATTCCCGAAAATGATAATGGTAAACTCGCCGAGCGGAGTACATCGAGCTCCTCCTCTGCGATATAAGCGAGATAATTCAAAGTCCGGCGCAGATTTGATACAAATATTTTTTCACCGCGCCCGCTGCTGCTCGTGCCGCCCGAGGATAAAAATTATACGCTATATGCACGAACGAGCGTGGCCGGTACGAACGGCTATAGAGATTGAATTTTTTTTTTGCTTCGAAGCAAAAATTAAATAAAACCGGTGATATTTCATTATAATTTCGGTCGCGTTTGATATCTGAGGAAAGCAGAAACGAGCGAGGGGGTCAGAGGGAATAGCAGGAGGAGAAAGGAGAAAATGGCACGATGAATACGATATATACAATGCAGCGGGGTCTGCTGTTGCGGCCAGCACCGTTGAGGCTCGCCCGCCCATATACAAAGCCCCAGAAGGGTATCATCGTATACAAGGGTATAACCGGCCGTCATTCAACGCATCGAACAGAACGCGAAGCCTCCGCTGCGGGCTTACATATATATATGCCGCAGCCTTAAAAACAAAAAGAGCCTCAGACGAGATTAGAACTCGATATAATCTACGTAGTGGAGCGAGAGGAGCTGCTTTGGCATTATACTATGTAGCTCGGGTGTGCTTGCATTGAATCGAACGAGCCCTGGCTCACGGGCTCAGTTGGTGCATATTACATTGGTAATTTAGTTATGCATACACATCTCGAATTTCGACGACGAAATGACGTAATTCCTCTCCATCGTAATTACTCCTCTTCGTAAGCCACGTCGGATCAACGGCGCAGCTAGCGTACGTCTTTCATTTAAAATACGCGACTCTGCTCGCTATACGCACCACGCCTATATATTCCATAGCTCTTTTTATCCTGCGGGGTATATTATATGGCTGGCTCATTTTCCGCGACTATACACGCGCGCATACGCGAACTTTTCTCAACAGGCGCCAGCTCGTTGCGCGCTTGTTGTAAGTACTTTTGTACCTTTACTGCGCGAACGAAAAATTCCTTCATTCGAATACCTCGTCGAAGTCGTCGTAGTCGTTGTCGTCGTCGTCGTCGTCTCGAGTGTACGATAAAAAAAAAAGGAGAAAAAGAAAGGGGAATAAAAAGGAAATTGTTCACCGCGAGACTATTTCGCGCGAATTCGAGCTCTCGCGTATACACTGCCAGCGCCATCCGGAATTGGAGAAAAAGTGCGTTATGCATAGCTCATACACGTTTGGAATTTCCAAATAATTCGATTTTTATTTCATTTTTATTCTTTTAGTTTTTTTTTAGTTATGCGCGCGGATCGAGGTGCTGATTCAAGTACGGCGGTGCGCAGCGAAACAATATGACACGTTTGACAAGATCGTGGTTTTGACACGTTGACCTGATTTCAATAAATACGCGCGCACAGGATTTATTTCGAGGCGAAAACAATTTTAATATTCGTATTTGAGCTAAAGAAGATAGATATAGTTTATAACTTGTGTGTGTGTGTGTGTGTGTGTGTGTGTGTGTGTGTGCGTGTATATCGGTATTCGATGCGTGTGCTTGGGAATTGAATTTGTCTAAAAAAAGTGGTGTGAAATCAACGCGATAATTTTGTTATTGAAACGTTTTTCCCAAGATGCATTCACCAACATCCGCGCCCCTCTTTTTTTTTTTTGTTTAATATAATTTTTCAAGGTCTGTTTGCTTCATCTCGAATGAAGTGCTCGTATTATATTCATAGTATATCGCTGGTTGTAGCATTTTTACGATTCCTTTCCTGACTCGGAGCGAAAAAAAGAGAAGAAGAAAAAGAAGCGCAGCCAATGCATAAAGCTCATACATAGATAGAGAGGACTTTGAGCCGAGAGTGTATGAGCAGCAGCGTTTCTTATAAGAAGACTCGTTAAATTTGCATGAGATCTCGAAATCGCTATATGTACGCCCGTCGTGAATTGTTTATTTGCCCACATATATACACCCACCAGCTGAGGATTTGTTGGCTGATCACACACACACACAAACATACACGCGAATTGACACATATAAAATATATATGGTCATAAGATAAAAAAAGCCCGAATCGTTAACAGCAAATGAATATTTATTCCGCTCCGAATAAACTCGCATTTATATATCTATGTAGGCATACGCCTATATTGGTAAGATTTCGATACACAAGCTCGAGGCTTAGGCGTGCCTCGGACAGATATACATATAGATAAATCGTCCTGCGCGAGAACATATTGTGACGCGCCGCCTCCACACTGCAGCGGGTGCATATTATCTTCCGTTACAAAAGAAATCCATTTGTACTCGCGGCAGCGAGCAAGAAGGGGGTAGGGGTAGGCGAGGCGGCAGCATAATATAAAAGAAAATAAGACTGAAAGATGTCAGCAGACCTCGGGCGGCGTTAGACAATCGCTCGGAAACTTATCAATAATACACATCCGCATTTTCCTTTCCATTTCCCGCTTTCGTCATCTTTTCATTCTCTTTCTCTGCTTTCGTTCTTTTTATCTTGCCTCTCTCTCATTTTTCTCTTTCTTTCCTAGCTATACGTTTCTTTTTTTTTGTCGTCGTCGTCGGTTCACAGACACACACGAGGGCTATTTCTTTTTTCGTCTCGTCGCGGATATGATATGTAAGCCCCTCTTCACGGCGACGAGCACGATAAACAACCGGAACAATTTCGCGGTATATAAGGCTCGGCCCGGGCTCCGGCATTATTTCCGAGAATGCGCGCAGCAAGCCCACCCGAGGTTTTGTCTTCATTGCAATAAAAATATATACAACCGTCCACAACATTTTCTGTACAACGGAGCGAGAGAGACGACAAAAAGAAAGGAAACTTTTTTTTCTCTAGTTTCGCGTTTATGTGTGTGTATGTGTGTATGTGGATGCGCTGTGCAGGATACCTGCAACTATCCTGTACATATAAATGTGTGTCTGTGTGTGTATGTGTGCGCGCGGCAGAGCTCGAAAAAGGCAATTGCTATTGACCTTATTGAATGGGACAAATCGATTCTGTATTGAAGGTGCAGCACTACACATACTACACGTTTAGATGCAGACGTACATATACCTCTCGTACATATATCTGGTGTCGTTGGGCAAAAAATCCGTTTGACCAAATGGATCGTTGACAGTTTTTAACGCTCGCGCGGATGATTTTGAAAAGAGATCGCCGCTGCAGCACTGCTCCTATTATACCGCGTGGATTTTTTTTCTCTCGTATCACATACACCTGTTTTCTGTTTCGAATGCACATGGCTGGCTCCGAATACACACAGAGTGCTACACTCTTTCTTTGTCCGCACGCTGACGCAACATCGATGCGCGCACAAAACGCACGCGATTACATCGGCAAAAGCGTAAGAGGGGAAAAAAAAGAACCGTGGCGTTCGTCCTCTTGATTTTTCTATTGCCGCGCACAATACGAAAAATATAACCTATGCGCGAGATAGGAATAAAAAGGATAAAACAACTTTTTTATGCGTGTATAAATCGAAATTCATCGTGGCGATTTTCACTCTGTAGGTGTAGCTTCGACTTTGTCTGGTATTTCGAAGCTTTAGATGTTGGCGAAGTAACGTACTTTTATACACAGTCTCGAGAAAATTCAACGGATTCTTAACCGCGGCCATTCTCAAATTAACGTATCCTTTTATGTAAACTTTTAAGTATCGAGCATCAAACACAAATAAAATTAATTTTAATACCTTGGATACGTTTGATGCAACTTTCAACTTTTGTTCTAGATAAGTACTTTCTTGTAACTGACATTGTTTTACCCTCCAAAATTTTTCGAAATTTACGGTTATGGAAACGCAACTCATTTTCAGATTCGTATCTTTACTTGATTAACGACGTAGATAAATATCCTAATTGATTTTACTTCAATTCTGCCTAAATATTTCAGAACTAAAGAACTGAGGTTTTTATAACGGCTCTGAATCTTTTTTACTTTTGAAAATCAGAATGTCCAACACAGTGATTCGTAAATTTAGTTTCAAGCGGTTGGCTACAAAGTGCGGATTGAAGCGTGAACCGCCGTCACTGCAGCCGGGACAATTGATCTAACCTCGCAATAAAATTTGAGTGTATTTATCTGCACCTGCCTTCAAAATGTAAGTTTTTAACAATAAATATCATGGTGATTGTTTAATAACTAATAAATTATGACAGATGATATATTTTACTTATCTGATGCATATATTTTTTTCTATTATCGTCTCAAAAGCAATGAAAACATTACAATTTTGTATTTGTTTACAGGGCCGCGATAACAAAACCAAAGTCTGAGATGACACCAGAAGAGCTGGCAAAACGCGAGGAGGAAGAATTCAACACTGGGCCACTTTCGGTCCTCACGCAATCTGTGAGAAATAATACGCAGGTGCTTATTAATTGCAGAAACAACAAAAAATTGTTGGGACGTGTGAAGGCTTTTGATAGGCATTGCAACATGGTTTTGGAAAATGTTAAGGAAATGTGGACAGAGTTACCTAGAACTGGCAAAGGCAAAAAGAAGGTTGGTTCCCTCTTAATAATTTGCAAAAATATGTTTATGTTAATAATGTGCATTAACTTTTTGGACAGCAAAGATAAAAATATAAATCTAATTATTTTCTTGTATTTTTCAGGCAAAGCCAGTGAATAAAGACAGATTTATCTCAAAAATGTTTTTACGAGGAGATTCAGTTATATTGGTTGTAAGAAACCCATTGGCCAATACAGCAAAGTAATGCTCTAAATGCTATTTTTAACATTAATTATAAATATACAAAATAGGTATAAGAATTTTTTTAAAATAAATTCCTGAATCTTTAAGTTACATCTTTTATTTATTCTTTATCATGAAATCATGTATTAAATGAAAAATATGAATTGTACAAATTCATTGGAATTCATTTAAGAGTGTTCATAGCACTGTCTGTGAATTTAGAAAAAATTACCAATACGTGTAAAGATATTTTTAAAAAATGGAATGCTTAAACTTCAAAAAATGTTGTATTTTATTTATATTCCAACACAAAATAATATTATAATTAATAATTTATAATTTATTAAAGAAAGTACGAAACTGGAACAGCAACATTCACATTGATCTTTGCTGACTCCCTTAGTCTCTTTCAGCAATTGTTGTAAGATGTCTATCAATTTCTTGCTCTGTCAGGTTTCTAAAAAAATTGAATAAAATATTACAAATTAGTCCAACAATTAAAAGGGGGATAAAATAATTATAATTAAAAATGAACCAGTTCAAAATCTAAATCTTTTTCTTGTTCTGTCTGGAATAAAAAATATGTATACCTGAACTTAGGATCATCTTTTGTAACAACTCCAATCTCTAATTCAGTAGGTTTGAAGTCGACAGAAAGAACTGTTGATAAACAAGTAATGGCTAGTTGGATTGTTTCATCATAATCATAATTCTGCTTTTTCTTCAACTTCTTCTCAAGGTAAGAATTAGCTTCAGTATGCTTAGCTCCGGCAGAAACAGCTCTGTAACCACAGAAGTAACCAGCTGGATCAGCTTTGTAAATGCAAGGCCCCTTTTCGCTATCATAGGCAATAAGTATCATGGAGCAGCCTAAAGGTCTCATTTCAGCATTTTGAGTGTAGACCTGACTAATATCCGCTACCCTTTTGCAAAGAACATCCACAGGAATTTCATATCCATATTTGTATTTGTAATGAGCAGCTTCGTAACGGGCCCTTTGTACCTGAGATTTGCTGTCAGCTGTAAAAATGATTAAATAATTGATATATAATAGATATAAAAACATTTTAAGCAAATCAATTTTAAAACAATTGATAGAAAAAGTTTAACGACAATTTTAATCAGTGTTTATCTGTAAGTAATAATTTCCAATTTACCAATCATCCCAGTCATAACACAACCAATGTGATCAGTTATCCTGAAGGAATGAGTAACAGTGGATGGGTCCAAAAGCTTATCCTACAAATGAAAAGTAAAAAAATATCACGCATCAATTAATAATATACACTTGAGCGAAATGATTTGTTTCTGGAAAATTGTTAGGTTATATTTAAATATATCTTACCGGAACTTTTTTCTGTGTCGCAAAAACGGCGGTGTCAACTCCCTTGACAGCCACCGAGGTGAGCCCACCCTGATTGATGGCCTTGAAAGCATACTCTGCAATTGACAATAACAATTCATGTCATAACAGTAAACACAGTCGGCAAAATTTCAAAAAGTGCAGATCATCGCACTGTGAGAGTCTCGACTTGTAGGTTTATTTTTAACGAGACAAATCAATCACCGAGGAAGATTTACGAACCAAAAAAATGCTAATAAATCTTAGAACAATAATTTGTTGCAAATACTCACCTACTTGGTAGAGACGGCCTTCAGGTGAGAAAATAGTAATGTGTCGATCAAAACCAGCACTGCTTCCTCGCGCCATGTTTGCTGATTTGCTTTTCGCGAGACGCGACAAATGCCACTTTCGACGGTCAGCGCAGACTACAAAGTTTTGATCAGTAAATGCGGGATACACCGCTAGCAGCGCTTCCATAGCATTTCAAGAATAAGCAAATTCGTGCGGGGTAAGCGATGACAATTACGCAGAAATTTTCACAGGATTTTGGAAACATAAGATGAGAGATGCAAGATTCGAGAAAAAATGAACATAATTTTTTTTCAATTAAACAAAGTCAATTTATTACAAAAAATTTTTTCATATTCAACTTTACACGTCATTAACTTAAGTACAAATAACTTAAAAGTTTCTTTTTAAAATTTAATTAACTACTTTGTACAAAATATTTACAAGATTTATTATATTACATTTACTACACATTCAAATTAGCATCTTCTGTTTTCTTTTGGTAAATTTGCATTTCTGCTATATATTTTTCTTTCGACCTCTCATACATTTCATAATAAATCTGCAAAAAATTTTAAAATTGAATTAATAGTTGCTACAAACTATTTATAACGATGACACCCAGAAAAATTTAATTTTTCATGGTTGACTCACTCTTTTGTCCTCAAAACTTAGCGACTTCCAAGTCGAAGCCAACTGTCTTGTCAACTCTTGTTTACTTGGTTCAGGTTCTCCGGCTAATCGTTCCATGACTCTGGGCCTTTGTTCTTGACAGAATTGGAAAAACGGATTAGCTGGCCTTTTTGGTGCATTTGGATCAGCTTTAGGTGTTTTTCTTTTAGTTGGTTTTTTTACTTTTTCTTCTTTGACATTATTGATAGGGGTAGCTTTTGTGCTTTTTACAACTTTTGGAAACGTATTATTTTCTTCTATTGTACCCATTGGTACTTCTCTCCAATTATCTCCATGTTGATCAAGTCGTTTGATCAGGTATCTACGAAAAAATTGAAAAACTTATCATAATGAATCAAATATAAAAAATGTAAACAAAAACATAACCTCAAAAAGGACTTACTCTTTTTCCTTTTTTACCCTCTTAATTAATTTTCTGCATTGATGTATCCTGTATACTATTCGCTCATTTTCCTATTTATAAATCAGAACCAATTATTTTTCTATAAAAAAACTTCAACAATGTATAATAAACCTCGCACAAACCTGTTGTATGACTTCACATCTTTCGGCAAGTAATTCGTATTTTCGTTTATATACGTCGATTTCTTCAGGTTCACCATCGTACTCTGAATCGTCTGACATTTTAAATTTGGCTTATAGCTATGCGTTAACGAGCTGATAATCATTAGTTAACAATTAGACATGAGAAAAACTAGCAGACGCAAATCTGAGATGAAAACACACTGGCACTTGGCAGTTGGCGGCGCGCTAACTGGAAACAATGCGTTATGTTAGTGTACACGCGCGAAATTTCTCATAAACGATGACCGAACTAAATTTGCTTTTTTCAAATGTTACTGACTTACCAATTGTTCATATCGCATGTTAACTTGTTTTTATAAAAATGAAATTTCAATAGCTTGTTTTCCATTTTCAATTCATTTAAATATGCACGATTAATTTCGATATAAATTTTTACATTACTTTTCATCAAAATCTGAACTTAAAAATGAAAGATTGTAGAGTGAATATATTTATCTACAGTAAAAAAGAATTTGTTTATTTTATTAACAAAATTTTATTGATCTTTCATTTGCATTTACGATTTATATTTATTTACAAATAATCACACATAATTAATACCAAAGTTATTTTGGTTATGATAAAATTATAGTTTCACAAGATGATTCTCCTATTAATCTTATTCCTTGGATAAGGAATACTTCTTTTGCATTACCTCATGCCAGGCTTTGTTAACCATAAATTACTAGTAGCACAGCTACTACTTGACTCTGTGCATGGTGGCATAATTTTGTTGTTTCTTGAGGTCTTGCTTTTCTGCACATTTTTGTATTGGTAAATCTTGGTATTTACAAAACCACGATTAAAAAAGGCAAATTATAAAAATGGCTGCATCATTAAACCTAAAAGTAATTGTCCATAAAATTTCACTCTCGTAGATTGACCTAATCTACAAGCCTGAGCTTGGATTCGATCTATAATTAAGCTTAATTGTTCAATACATTTTTAATTAAACTTTCTAGCAAAAGTCACATCACGAGAAAAATATAAAAACTGAATATTGCTGCTGAACCAAAGCACACATAATGCCAAAGATCAGCTGGTACCACCGATAACGTCATCTTCTATTATTTTCTTAAGCTTGGCTTCAAATTCGTCGTTTCGTTTACGCTGCTCCTCTAATAAACGTTCGAAATTTTCGGTCATATCGTCGAAATCTGCGTTCTGCTCTTTTACTTCATCTTCCATTATTTGAATTGGTCGTTCCACTTGAACTTCGTGAATACTCTGTTCCAACTCGTTTATTAGTTCAAAGTCGTAGTGGAATTCGTCGTCATCTGCTTCTGATGCAACAGAAGAGACTGATTTTTTTTGCTCAATCTGAAATGAAAACAGACAATTAAAATCGGCACAAAAATGGTTGATTACAAAAACTGTTTACGAATTTTACCTGACTTGTTGTAACGTGATCTGTTTCTTCAGTAATTTCGTAAGCACCCTCATCCTCTTGATTTTCGAGATAATTCAGTAGTACATTCGATTTATACCACCAGGGCAATTTACGGAAATTCTGTATGTGATGCTTGTTGTAAACAACTCGAACATTTGAAGGCAAATCTGCAATCTTTCGTTCCACTATATGAACTAATATTTCACTAAAACAGTCGAGTCGACACACGTTCTTATTCTCTTCATCATTTTCCGAATCAGCGTCTTCAAATGAAGATATTAGATACAAATTGCTTATAACGTCCCGAGCTATGGTTAAGCTTTCATGCGAGAGTATTTGACGACTGTAGGCTAATATGGCATTGTGCAATTTAAGAGGATCTTGGATTGGCCAAGGGAAACTAAAAATATATGTAATGAATTAGTAATTAGAACCTTTTTATCTTAAATAACAACAATTGATACTTACTTCCATCGAGGAAAAGTAAAACTAGAAAGCAGACGTTCAAGCTCGGCTCTGTATTCTGGTTGTTTCCAAAGAATGTCAAAATATTCATAACCACATGGATATGCTCGTGAATGATTTTGACCTAGGTAGATTTTTAATTCAGGAGCAAAGTCTGTGTATGCAAGTGACTCTGGATCAAGCATAATATCTACTAAATGATTGATGGCTTCGTTATGCAGATCTATCACAAAGTTTGGATCGTTCAACGGATTAATAAACTTTTCATTGGCTCCCAAGTGATTATGAATTCTGTCAATTCAAACAAAAAAGAAAAAGAAATCATTATCATGATTCAAAATTTTACAAACAAATAATTGTACTTTAAACTTACTTGAGCCACAGATCATCACTTATGCAATCCTCGAGCATTCTGTGAAGGAAGTCCATCTGCAATGGCACTGGTGAAGCTCGATTGATAGCTAACCAGAGAGTGGCACTCTGCAAAACTCGAATGACAACTTCTTCACTGCTGGAACGTTCTTTCAATACGGTATACTCGCCGATGTGACCAGATTCTAATAAGGGTTCAACAAGGCTATCCACGTCGAGACTATTGCATTCGAGTTGATCGTCACCGAATACCAATACAACCAGTGGCACTGGAGGCAATTTTTCGCGCGATACCACAGCTTTGGTGAGTCGACGAGCTACCGATCGACTGTCCTCGTCTGCGCAGCAGACTAGCAACAGAGCATCGGTGCCTGTTAGGCTGTGCTCGAACGATAGTCCCTCAAACTGACGAATGCACATAGTCAAACTTTCGTTTCCAGCGAATTTGTGTTGAATCACGATTGGCTCTTGTGTTGGATCGCTAGGACTCAAGTATCTGCAACAGAGCAATGAGCGTAAAAATTGAGAATTTAATTTTAAATTGAACAAATTAAAAAAAAATTGATGTACTCACTGGCTTATGAGTTTTTTATGCCTCCAGACAATTAGTTTGTTTTCCAGTACAGGCCACGATACGACCATTTTCCAGTAATCATTGGAATGTACCTCTTCGGCAAGATTTTTCGCATTTTCTTTGAGACCCACGCATACAATGAATTCGATTGGCGTTTGCCTAGTCAAAAAATTTCAATCATTAATTTAAACTCAACTCAATCAATTGATATAAAAAAAGAGTTTTAATAATCACTTTGGAGTTCTGCCACTATCAGTGACATTGTTGTCCTCCGGATTACTCCGCCTCCTGTTGTCTTTTGCATACTTAACAGCAATTTTCATCTCGGGGCAGTACATTTTTTTGGCAGTTTCCTCGAGACTCTCGTTCTGCAGCCAAACCGGCGTATTGTCGAGGGCTTCCCTCCTGTGCAATCTCCTCTTGTCGATGCACTGCCTCCAGCAGCGCAAATACTTGCGGCACAGTCGATCTCTCGTACGACGTTCCACCTCGATCAGCATGTCCTGAATGAAGAGCTGCTCGTCGAGCAAAGATTCGCATATCTCTTGAACGAGATCGTTGAATATTTTTGAGCTCAACGCATCCATAAGGGCGATTCGCTCCATTTCTGCTTGGACGATTTCCGAGCACATGTCATTAAGCACCTGAATTTACCAAAAACCACGTTATATTTTTTTTTTAATTTTGATTTATTTAAAATTAAATAAATAATTGTTTACCTCATTTTGCATTCTCTCGCAATCAGCGACAGCTCGTTTATTCAAAAGTTCGAGTCTGAGTTGTTTTTCTAACTCGGCTTTTTTCGCGGCTTCGATTTCGCGCCTTTTTCTTTCTTCCTCGTCTCTATCCATCATTCGTCGTTTTTCCTCCAAATCATTTTGATTCAATTTATCTTCATGACGACGCTTATTGTCTTGCCTCTCGTTAGTTGCATTACTGAAATCAAAGATGAAAAGAGATGAAATTTAGAAAGATTAAGTTCATTATCACAACCAAAGACTATTTATTTAGGTACACGTGTGTTTAGATAGATAAGAGTAAGATGCTTCAATTCGTTCAGTTCAGAATTTTTTAAAGCACTCCTGATAAAAAATATTCAAAGGAGCAGCCAAAGACGGAGTTATCGTGAGATAAAATTATCATCAGGCGTGAGAAAGTGATAAACGAGCAGAAGCCTTGACTGTTATTCCAAGTTAATCTTCTAATGCGTTAAAACCCGCGTTCGCATCAGTCTCGTTGCAGCGGTCGGCAGGTAAAGGTGTCCCAGGCTTAAAAGCCAAGAAAATTCTCATTTCGCCAACATGTTTTGTAAAATGAACGCGTTGGCTCTGATCGTCCTGGGCCTGGCGGCCGTCCAAGCCGTGCCAACCCTGCCAATGGCCACGGATTTGAGCTCGACGATATTGTTCTTCGACGAGGACGAGTCCTACGGCAACAACAACGTGGCTTACGCTTACTGCGAGGGCCCGGACATCCGGAAAATGAAGAAGGTCTGTACGGTGCACTTGGACAGCGCGAACGCCCAAAGAGCCTGCGCGGTGATCTTTCCGACGCGCGACAACGCCTCGAACCTGGTCGATCCGGGTCTGAGGGTGGTGGCTATCAGCGAAAGTCTGGCTCTCGTCGCCTGGCAGGAGAGCGACCCACAATTCGGCGTCTATTTTCTCCGGATGGCCAGCCTCGAGTTTCCGGACTGCAAGATCGATACGGTCGACATCGAGTTGCACGAGGACGGCAAATGGATCGATTTCTTGGCGGCGACCAAGTTTGTCGTCCACGGGGACGACACCTACGACGTCATCTTCCCCGGGCTGCCCGAGTGCTCGGACAAGAAGTTGTGCAGAATGACGATCGGCGCAAAGGATCTCAGCATCATCAGATCCGCCGAGGATTGGCTCAGTTGGAGATTGTTCTTGAACACGCCCCACGAGCATTGGCAACTCATTGGGCTGAATACCTTTCCTCTGAAAGATTATCTCATGATTCATAGTTTTCCCACGCACACGGCCGAGAGTATCTGGATGGAGCAAGCTTCGCTCATCAAAAGTGACGGTAAGTCCGCTATTTCGATGTATTCGAAATATACACGTATATATTCGAATTGAAATTGGTACGAGAGTGATTGGATAAATGATTTATTTTAGGATCGAGATCGATAGTCGTGCAGCACAAGCACGTGGCGCCTCTAAACCGATTCTTCAAGTACACCTACTCCACGACCTACGGATTGATCGGCGTTTGCTTCTCCTTCGACGCCAAGATACACTGCGCGCAATTCGACGTTCGAGGCATACTGCGGGCCAGAGCCACGATCGACAACCCCGACGGCATGAACGAGATTGCCATGCACAATTTGCCCGGCGAGTTGGGCTTCGTGCTGCTCAGAACCGAGTGCGTGAAAAAGTCCAGTTGGTTCAGCACGAAATGCGACTGGCAGGCGGGCGAACGTCGCCAGCTGCTCACGAGGATCGACAGGCAGGGCCAGAAGCACAAGGTCTACGACTTGGCCGTCGCCAACTGCGACTTCACCAAGGCGGTGCATTACGGCTACAAATTTTTCCCTCTAGCCAGCGGCGACTTTTGCTTCACGCAGGTCTGCGTGGCGTTGGGCAAGCTGCGGCACGAGACCAAGTGCTTCGCCAAGGAGTTGACTTTGCAGGATCAGAAAGACGACGCTGGTAGCGCGACGTTTTGGCCGAAGAACATATTCGGCTGAACCGATCGAGTGTGACGAGTGTAATTAATAGAACTGCATTAGTTTATAATAGTTCCTAATAATTTTGTACTTTTGTAAATTTTTTTGTTCAATTAAATTTAGTTTTTTTTATTATATAAAAAGCATGAGTTGTCGTTTTATTTCCCACCGCAACTCGTTGAAAGTAATGAGAGCCAAACAATGGAATGACTGGTCATTTTTTGCTACTGACTATTTTTGTCTGCCGGAAAATAACAAAAATCGATGGCACAAAACAACGAAGCACAATCAACGATTATTTTTTCATCGACAGCGATCGTCACTTTTCTCGAAAATTCGAATTTATACAAATAGATCTCCAGGGCCTTGTCCATGCATTCGCCAATAGATGAGCTACCGTCAGGATGAACCTTTTACGTAATCTAATACTTTATAATTGTCACAGAATGACGTGACAAAATTACGCTCAACATGAGGTCTGAAATAGTTTTATGTGCGATCGCATGCAGTAATTTTCAAACACAACTAGTCCAATCTTGTTTAACAATAATGGTGTAATTCAAATTTTACGCTTTTAAAGTAGTTTTGTTACAATGAAGAATCTTGATAGATACCAGCTTGGATCGTTAATCCTTATTTTGCTATCAATAATTGCTAAAACATCGTCTTCGATCGTAGGTTTTCAATCGAGCGAAGTTGGTAACTATTTTCCCGGTTACAAGTCTTACTTTGGTGAAGAGTCTTTTTACGATGACAGTATTTTTTACGCTCTCTGTGAAACACCGGACAGCCCGAAATCGACGAAATTCTGTCGTTTTGGCTTGGACAGATCTCTCACCAATGAGACCTACGAGTGCCAGATCGAGCTGAGGACCAAGAATGCTAAGCACGAAATCCTCGAAGAGATTCGCGTGGTGGCTTTCGACGAGTACAGGATCATCATTGCGTGGCAAGAGCCCGAAGAATCGTTCGGCTATCACATGCGCTTGGCCAACCTCGATTACCGGGACTGTGTCATGAGTTTGAAGCAATTCGACGTGCAGGTAGTGAGCATTCTGCGCGAGGTGCGTTTCGTCATTTACGACGACAGCTACGAGGTGATCTTCGAAAATTGGATGATGTGCGATCGTAAATTGTGCAGAGTGAGAATCGATCTGCAGGGAAAATTACTGGCTGGGCCCGCGGCTTGGTTCGCCATCAACGATGATGACATGAGCTTCATGAGACGAGCGCAACAACTCAGCGTGGTACCGATAAAGCCGCGCTCGTACGATTTCGATCACTTGTTAATCAAGCAGTTCAAGGAGCAGAGTTTCGACGCGAGGGGCGGCTTGCTCGAGGCCAACGATACCATTAAAATTGTGTCTATACTGCGAGATGACGGTGAGTTCATTAAAACTTCTACTTCGTTGTCTTAATTGATAGCAATGATAAGAGAAATGATCTCGGCAGGTTCGAAAATGCAACTGATCAACTATCGTCGCAGTGGAACCAACATTTCTTCGAGTCTACACCAATTTGCATACTCTCTGGTGCACAAACTCATCGGTATCTGCTATCAGTTGAACAATCGAATATATTGCAGTCAATTCGATCGAACAGGAATATTGAAATTTCAAGTACAGCTCGATTACTCGTACACATTGCACGAAATGACTATGTACAATCTGCCCCTTGACGAGGGGTTTATCTTGCTAACGACCGAGTGCCTCAGCGATACCTGCGACTCCTCTATGAAACACGAACATCATTTGGATATAATTAGTCCAGCTGGAGACAGGACCAAATTGACTCGGTTCGATAGGATGGAGTGCAGTGTGCCAAGGCCAACCAAGATGGAATTACATTTCTATCAAAATACCGATCAATCTTACTGTTTATCGCAAATTTGTTACGATGCTGATATTTTTAGTCACATTAATCAATTTCCTTACTTGAAACACATAGCGACTTGTTTCAGTAAAGATCTTGTCACTTGATATAACGATTCTGTATTTTCTAATAAAACATTTTTAACTCACACCACTCATCTGCGTTAAAAAATATGCAACGAAAATAGAATAAAAATACGTCTCAAATTAATTCTCACCTGACGTTTGTAGTAATTTTCGATGAAGCGGATTGCACAGCGAATATATTTGTCTGAGATGCGGGATAGCCGGAAAATATGCCCTTGCTGACGGCCATGTTGAAGGGTGAATTGGCGTTACTAAATTGAGTCATAATGGCTGATTGTGGTTGAGGCGGTAGCGTTGAATTAAACATTGAAGTTGATGCTTGGGTAGATTGCGAGAATGCGGATGGTGTCGGGGTAGAAAATGCCGTGAATGATTTGTTTTCGGGCGATCTGAACGATGCGGTGCTGGGCGGAGTTGAAAATTGAGATTGACCAAAAATGGGTTTACTTGCTGTAGAAGCAGTGGTAAAAGTGGAAGGTTGCATTGGCTGCGCTTTGAATGCAAAGTCCGAATTCGTTCTGAAAAACAATGTTTAATTTTTACTTAAACTCAATTTGGTTAGTAACTCAACACTTGGGTTCAAGTACATTACTTACTGATTAACAATCGGTGTCTTCTTTTCCTCGACTTTTTTTGTTTCTTTGACCTCCGAGAACTCGACGTCACCATCCTCGTCCAGCATATCATATGCATCAGTCTTACCCTGATCTTGAGCATTATAAGCATCCCTCAACAAGTAGCCATTATCATCAAAACTACTATGAGGTTCGTGATTGATGTGAATTTTTTCTGGCCATTCACCACCTGCTATACATTGACCAACGGCTTGATTGATGGCTTGTCTCTTAGACAATATCAAATTGTAAGCTCGTCCTTGTTCGATCTGACCGTCCGGATGATGAAAATTGTCTTTTTTAAGTTTTATGTACAGATTTTCTCGATCACATTTCAACCCCGTTTGATTACAAAAGTGATTAACTTCGTCTTCGTCTTCGAATCCCAAAATATCGATTAATTCGTATAATGGATATTCTGTGATGGCTGATGTACGACAGTAAGCTTTCACCATGATGTTCAAAGCTTTCACGCGCACCTAAGAGAAATAAAAATCGCCAATATACTTTGAGCGTTACTGATTGTTTTTTTTTTATTTACCTGGTTAAAGTAACGCATTAAAATACATCCATTGAGATAAGTTGTTTGCCTCACTAGCTTGAAAAATCTTGAATAATTATCCATCGCTAATGCAGAATAGACGTTTAGCGCAAATTTCACCTCATCAGATTTTTGAATGTTCGGAGGAAGCGTGCTCAAATCCGAAATGAAAGAACCATTGTTTAAATTTAACAATATAACATAAGCTCGGAATTCTGGTTCATTTTTACAAGTTATGCCTGCCTCTCTTAAGTCATAGTACATATATTTCAGTGTCTGCAAACATTTTGTCAGATTTTCGCTATTGATTTTTGGATCGAAGACTGATGTTTCTTCCGCGCACAGCCTCTCGGAGGAAAGTATATGAAATCGAGCACATTGTTCCACTAGTTCAACTGTGTCGACACAACACAATTCTTGTTGAGTTATATCTTTACGAATACTTCTCATTCTGTCCCATAAGTAATGATACCATTCAGTCAGACTCACATCGTCACTATCACAGAGGTCTGAAATCTCATGCAGTAAATAGCTCATAGTCATCTTCAAAGATTTCAAAGGGCGAAGGTCGTGTGCCATAGGCTCTTCTTGATCAGCCGACGAACGAGAATATTGCTTTACAGCTGTCAGATGGTTAATTTTGTAATCAGAAGAACCCGGTTCCATTTGTTCATAAGTAGCTAGTTGACGTTGAAATTCTCGCATGTAACGCTCTTTTTCAGGGCACATATCAGGGCAGGTGCCTTGAGTTATTTTAGCTGTGGCCAGGCTGGTTTGTTTATTTTGTTTCAGACGCATTAATTTATCACGAGCATCAAGCACCTAAAATTAAATAATGAAGTAAAATAATTAGAAATAGAAACTATCTATCTAGTAATAAAATTCAATTTTTTTTTATTTCTTTACCTTGTATTTATCTTCGGAACTCAGTGCAGGTTGACGAATTTGTTTTTTTAGCTCATCTATAGATAATGATGTAACAAACTTTAGTTTTGATTCTTCAACTGGAGCTTGTGCTTTTGGCAAAGGCTTTGGAATAGATTTTTCTTTAAGTAATGGTCTGGAAGGTTTGAGCAATGATGATTTTGAAATTAACCCTGATCGCTTAGGAACTTCTCTATTGGCAACCACCATAGCTTTTTTTACTCTGGCTTTGGCTATTGATGTTTTTATATGTGAAGATGGTTCAGGCATGTTATATTCCAACCCTTTCAAGGCTTCTAATTCTTCTTTTACATCATCATCAATATTTAAGAAGCTAGTAATCCTCTTTTTTAAAGATTCTACTTTTTTAGGTTTAGAAGATAATGAATCTGGTTTAGTCCATTCAACTTTGAATTCATGGTTTAGAAAATTCCCTGATTTTACAAATGCTTTGGTCGCAGTCACTTTGGAAGAAAAGTAAACAACAATTATTTTTCTTCGTGGACGAATTGTTAGTTTCAAAATATTTCCAAATTGTTCAAAATACTCTTTTGCTACAGTCTTTACAAGAAGAGACTCTGGAACATCTGAACAGGTAATTGAATTAGCAAGATCGAGTTTAATGTCACTTGTTTTTCTAGAATTTTTCTGTAACTGTGTAAAAGCTGAAGTTCTTTTGATATCAGAAGCATTAAGATCTGAACGAGATGTTCTTCTAGATCTTAAACTTGATCTTTTAAGACTTTTTTCTGATGTAGTCTCTGAACTACTTGTATCATCATCTGTTATCACAATTGGCTCATCTGGATATACACTTCTTTTGGATAAACGAGCATGAATTGGGGTTTTTCCAGTTTCTTTTATTGCAGAATCTTCATTGCCAAAGGATTTTGTAAAATAAGGTGCTTCATTTGAACTGGGTTTAAGAAATGGAGAAATTTCACTTGTTGAAGATTTTCTAAAGACAGAAGTTTCATCTGCAGTTGATTTTCCAAAAATTGGCTTGGTACTTGGAGATGATTTAGAAAAAGGCAAAGATTCACTAATAGATGGTTTTGCAAAAGGTGAATCTTCATTTATAGATGGTTTTGCAAAAGGTGAAGCTTCATTCATGGTTGGTTTTACAAATGGTGAATTTTCAGTCATTGATGATTTTGCAAAAGGTGAATCTTCATTCGTGTTTGGTTTTGCAAAAGGTGAATTTTCATTCATTGATGGTTTCGCAAAAGGTGAGGCTTCATTCATGTTTGGTTCTGCAAAAAGTGAAGCTTCATTCATGGTTGGTTTTACAAATGGTGAATTTTTATTCATTGATGGTTTCGCAAAAAATGAGGCTTCATTCATGTTTGGTTTTGCGAAAGGTGTAGCTTCATTCATTGTCGATTTTGCAAATGGTGAAGTTTCATTTGTAGATGGTTTTGCAAAAGGTGAAGTTTCATTCATAGATGGTTTTACAAATGGTGAAGCTTCTTTTATAGATGGTTTTGCAAATGGCGAATCTTCATTCATGGATGGTTTTGCAAATGGTGTGTTATATTCTGCAGATGACTTCCCAAAAGAAGGTTCACTAGTAGCTGGTTTTGTAACATCGGAAGTCTCACTTGTAATTGATTTAGCAAAAGGAGAAGCATTACTTCCAAAAGATTTCCCAAAAGATGATTCACTTGCAACAGTTCTTGCATAAGACGTAGCTGTATTTGTGAATGGATTCGTAAAAGATGAATTTTCATTTACAGCTTGTTTTGCAAATGGAGAGACTTCATTTGAAGGTTTACTAAACATGGAAGTGTCATTATTGTCTGAATTACTAAAAACAGTGGGCTTAGAAAAATTAAAAACCGATGTTTCCACTGTATCAGGTTTCGCAAATGTAAACCCAGAAGATTCAGTGGATTTTGATGATCCCGTAAAAACATTATTGGAAAATGATCCTGTATTCGATATTTTTTCAGGGCTAGTTGGCGTGGAGAAGATAAATTGGCTAACACGTTTGTCATCTTCTGGGTCAGGATCTATTTGCATATTTCCATCCATCTTAAATTTTAAAAAAATCTGCAATGTACAAAAAAGAATTGTTTATTTTAAAAATTTAAATTTAATTAAAAAAATATAATATACCTATTTTTTTTTATTATGTTATATCATTTAAAACCTCCACATTTATAATTACTGAGAGATACTTATTTTGAGTTTCATGTTTAACAACAATAAAATCGTTTGAAAACAAGATGTAATTTGAAACACATAGTTACAAATATCTCTTTTTCAATATTTCAATAGTAATAAAATTGCGCATTTCTCAGACTAAGTATTTATAAGCAGAAGTTGCATCCGCCAAAAAATGTTTTTACTCACTTGAACTAAAATTTCTTCAAAAACACCAAGTGATATTTACATTATCGTTGCTTATAACCTCTTCCGCCTAAACTTGGTGCGACAGTAAAAACAAATTCTGCAGACGCGCGCTTGACTGAAGGACTTGATCTCAACGAATTTGACCTGCATGAGTCACGTGACATACCCTCAGGTATGCTTTACATATCAAACATGCAGATAAATCTGCCGGTACTGTAATTTTACGAATAATCATCAACTGTAACAAATTTATCTAAATTGCATTGGTCCATACGTTTATTGAACAACTTTTCCAAAAGTTTATGCTAGCAAATGATTTTTACAGCGACAGAAGTGATTGATCGAGAAAAATGTGTCAAAGATTGAAGAAAATCCAGACTCCGCGCGGCTTTTACTACTGCTGTCTACACGCATGTGTGAAGTGCAGCGCCGACGCCGTGCGGTGCCAAACACAATATCAAGTGCACGTGCAAGGGCTGCCGGGTAGGAAATACGTTTACACAGTTCAGTCTGAGACACTGTGCTATAACGCAAGATTTGTGTCTGCTGATTTTAATTGTTTTTTCTAAGATAGAAATGAATTAGTGAAGATTTTCCACAAAATAATTACGTAGTTAAGTATTACGCGGTAAACTCACAGTAAAACGTATGGTGTAATTTACGTTTTGTGACCTTTGGTTATAATAGTTTTGTGAACAGTTATTTTGATACAAACATTTATTAAAGTGATTAATAATAGTAATCATGAGGAATCTAACTGTGAACACGCAAAAAACATGTCTGTTTACGGACACGGAAGCTTTGAGTCAAGAGTTTAAGTGCTGTTACGACGATGATAATGATGTCTATTATCTCATGCAGCCAGAAGAAAAACGTATCATTGCCATCAGTGGAGTTGACAATAGAATTCTTCTGGATGATAGATTATCATTGAGAAATAATCTGGCTGTACCTGTGGGGATTACTTACAGTAGCATCCAAGATGAGCTTTATGTTGCCTTTGATGCTGGATTTGTCATTGAAGTCAAGAAAATATCATCCAATGAGATGAGATATGCAGAAATCGATGATTACAAAAAGGGTCTGTTCAGCATTAATATGAGTCCAGATCATGAAATTGTTGTACTAGTGACAAGAGAGTATGAAGTTATAACATTGAATGCAGATTATAAACAATTAAATAAAGTAAGCTTGAAAACAGAAGAATTCGGTGAAAAACAATTTATTACTGTTGGTTGGGGTAGTAAAGGAACACAGTTTCATGGTTCTGAAGGCAAAGCAGCTAGAAATGTATCATCTGTTCAAGGCAGAACCGAACTTGATGACTGCATGCCAAGAATTACTTGGAAAGGTGATGGTACAATGTTTGCTGTAAGTTACATTGATTTAGAATCACAGGCTAGAAGGTTTAGAGTATTTAGTAGGGAAGGAACTTTATATTACACTAGTGAGTTAGTTCAAGGTTTAGAAGCTTGTTTATCCTGGAAACCATCTGGAAACTTGATTGCTGGTACTCGAAAGCTTCCTAATAAACATACAGTTGCTTTATTTGAAAAAAATGGTCTTATGCACAGAGAATTTGTATTACCTTTTGGTGGTCAAAAGATCTTGGTGAGTAAAAATCATTCAAATACTAAACAGTTTTATGAATAACTTTTAATTAAATCTTTTACCTTTTATAGATAATGGATCTTATTTGGTCAAGAGATTCTGATATATTAGCCATTTTACATAAAGATGTTAATAGTAATCTCACTAGTATACATTTGTGGGCTGAAAAAAATTACCACTGGTACTTGAAGCAAACAATTTTTTATCCTCCTGATAATCCAATTTTATTTGCTACTTGGGGTCAACAACATGGCAAAGACTTATTAGTTTTATCAGCTAAGAGCACTTCTACTTACACTTTCCGTTGGAAAATTGATCATAGTCGTGGATTGACTGCTGATGATGGTGCAGTAGTTAGTGTAATTAATGGATCAAATGTACATATGACTTGTTTTAAAGATGGTATTGTACCACCTCCAATGGCTCAACAAATATTGGAGTTTGCGGGTCCTGTTAATGCCTTATCATTCGCACCTCCTGGATGTGAACTGAATACTAATGAATTCTTAGTTCTCTTGAGTAACAATAAATTATATAAATTTGAATCAGCAAAAGTATGTATAAACTAAATACTATTAAATTAAGATTAATATTGTTTATTATTAAATAAATCTTTTCTGCTTAGGATGAAGGAAAACTGGTTTATAAAACAAATTCAAGTTATATCATTAATTTGCCGTTAGAAGAACCTGAAAAATATTCATTGAATTTAATAAATCATTTGCTTTGGTATACACCCAAATTAGTTTTGTGCTCATTAGCTACAGGCTTAAAGAGCTCTTTGTGCAAAATCGAATTAAGCAATATTGAAAATTTGGATAAAATCTTGATAGATCTCACGTAAGTAAATGAAAGTTCATTGTAGTATCAATTATATCTATAGTATGTACAGCGTCAGTTTAAATCTTCAATTTCAGGATCATTAAAGAAATGCCAGGTCAAATCCAGCATATTCTCACATCAAGTGCCACAGGTGATGCCTACATAGTTTGTGACAATAAATTATACACATACAGTGTAGTGAGTGGATTAGAAAAATCTTCTCTCTATTTGGGAGATGAACCACCTGTAAAACTAGAATTTGTACAATTTGGTTCAAGAGAAGTAATTGTAAATTTATCGCGTAAACATGTGCTTTACGTCGGTGGTAAGCAGGTTGCCAATAATGTAACCAGCTTCCATGTACATTCAGAATTTTTCTTGATCACTACTCTACAACACACTTTGATTGCATTCAGGTTGGATGAAGATGGTTTGATGCAGTTAGAAAATAAAGATTTAACTATTCAGCCATGGACAATGGAAGATAGTAAAGCTCAAAGAATTCAAGGTATATAATATAATGAAAAAATTTAACATAAGTAGATATTTATAAAAACATTCTCTAAAAATAATTTCTTTTGTAGAATTGAGTATTCGTCGTGTCGAGCGGGGATCAACACTTGTGACGGTGCTACCAAAAGATTGCAAAGTTATTCTTCAAATGCCCCGAGGTAATTTGGAGTGCATCCAGCCACGTGCTTTATCCCTCGTCATAATCGGTACATACATCGACAACTTAGAGTTTTTATCAGCATTCGACTTAATGCGTAAGCAACGCATTGATCTGAATTTACTTTACGATCATTCGCCTGATACCTTCATGAACAATGCCGAAAAATTTGTCAGTGACGTGAAGAAGTCAAGCTGGTTAAGTCTGTTTTTATCAGAATTAAGAGATGAGAATGTCACTAAGACTGCTTACAAAAGTAGCTACATGGGTAAAAATTCTGTAACAAATGATTCGAGAGTCAACAAAGTCGAAGAAGTTTGCACTAGATTGCGAGAAATCATGGAAAAAAATTCAAGCGCCTATCTGCAGCCAATATTAATTAGCTTGGTGAAAAACCAAAAGCGATCCGGCCTGGAGGCGGCTCTGCGCAAAGTCAGAGAAATTATGGACATGGCTAAAGTTGAAGAACTAAAAATCGAGTTAAAATCGGATCCACCGTCTCCGAAATTTGACACGGAGGGCCGAGTTGTCATGGACTCTGAAGTCCCCCAACTCAGTGATAAAGAATTGACCGACGAACTCGGTCGACAGGTCGACATAAACGGCATGATTGACGAAGAGGAAGGCATACCACTGGAAAAAGAGTTCGAACCTATAGAATTAGTCGTTACGCCGACCCAAGACAACATAACACCAGCCGACGAGGCAATGAAATATTTAATGTACATGGTCAATGTTAATACGTTGTACGACGTAGCACTAGGCATGTACGACTTTGACTTGGTAACTCTGATTGCTGAAAAAGCTCAAAAAGATCCGAAAGAGTATGTTCCATTTTTGAACGATCTCGCTCAGCTGGACGATCATTATATGAAATTTTCAATTGATAAATATCTTAAGGTAATTGAAAGAAGATGCATGTTGTTAATTTATTTGTAATTATCGATTTACTAAATTAATTTTTTTCACAGCGTTACAGCTCTGCCTTGGATCACATAGCTAAATTGCCAGAAAAATTCGATGAGTGCTTGAAATTCATCGACACACATAAACTTTTCGCCAAAGCTATGCGATTATTCAACAAACAACCCGAGGCATACAAACAGATAGCTGGACTTTACGGTGAATATCTCATATCTAAAAATAATGAAAAAGAGGCGGGTATCATGTTCACAAAGGCTGGTCTCTACAGCGAAGCTTTGCAGGCCTTCAAGCGCGGTGGATGCGTCAAAGAAGCGATTGTCACAGCTGCCCATAAGCTCAACATGGGGTTAGTTAATTTTTATCAATATCAATTGCAAAAAATAACTGATTGTTAATAAAAATTTTTTTTAATAGTCTCCGGGAACAGATATACCTTTACGAAGAATTGGTTTACGAGTTGAAGGAGCAAAAGAGATACCAAGAAGCCGCGGAAGTACTACGGAAGCACTTGAACAGGCCAGAAGACGCTGTAGTAGCACTTTGTGACGGCAGATTTTTCGATGCTGCCTGGTCGGATGCACATCACATGAAGCGTCTGGATCTTATAGGTACTTTTCAATTCTTTAATTACGATAAAAAAAATTAAAAACTCTTTGCTAATGGAAATTTCATCCTTTAGAAACCCACGTGAAACCTGGCATATATAGACACACCGAATTCTTATTGGAACAATTGGCCAAGAATCACGCGGAATTTTTGAAGTACAAGACGCGCTTGGCTGTCGTACGCGAGGAAGCAGCCAACCGAGCCGCGGCTCGATTGAATTTTGACGACGGCGATGAAATGGAAGGAAACAACGGCTTGAGCGATCTGTTGAGTGACACAACGAGCATAGCAGGCTCGACGGTCTCGAGAAGTTCGAGATCCAGCGGCAGAAGCTACAGATCGAGCAAAAATCGCAGAAAGCACGAAAGAAAGATGCAAAGCGTCAAGGAGGGTAGTGCTTATGAAGATCTGGCCTTGATAAGGGCACTGCATGGATTAGTTACGCAAACTTATGCAATGAGAGGTACGTTTTACGTTTTACATTTATTCGATAGTTAATAGCCGAAGTTGACGGATTTTTTTACGGGATTTCAGCTGAAATACGATCACTCGGAGAAATGTTACTTTTGATCGACGGGGATGAGTCAGCTGCCAACTTATACAAAGCAATGGTAGCATTCCTGAAGGACATTAATAGCAGTAAACAGGAAATATGGCCTCCAAATGCAGAGAAAATTCCCGAACCAGTAACTGCCGATCCGAACATGCCAACTTTCACATTAGGTACATTACATTATTCTTGGTATCATTTTTGTTTCTATGGTATTCATTAATTTTACTTTTTTCAGAGCCCCATTTACTAACAGCACCAGTTGAAATGCCTATCAAATGGAGAATGGATATGTTTGAAGAGGGAGACGACAATAAGCACGTTACAGACAAATAGATAGATTATTGTTACTTCTTGTCCAAAGAGCGACGATAGTGAAATGTCAAGTAGATTAATTGTATAATTTTTTTACTATTTATTAGTTATCTAGTGCCTGTAACAGAAAAAAACCGCCTGTATATATTTCTAAAATTATATGACGTTGAAGCCACTGGATCCCAAAATAAAAAATTAAATAATTTTATACGCTTACGCTTTATTTACATGAGATATTTTACATTATGACGTGTTGGCGTTTTCTCACACTCTGTATAACGTGTTCGTTCACTCATATTAATAAATCCAAAATGCAACTATACAATATTAAGCTTACTCTTTCCAGTTTTCTTTTCGTATTTATACTGCAATATAAGAAGATGAATTTAGTCAAAGTAAATTTTGAGAATTAAAATTTTATTTTTTTTCGCAAAAATAACATGTATTGTGACACTAAAAATGTTACTGTCTGGAAATATATTAGTCAACCAAGTTATAATCGACTTCCTGCCGCTGTATGTTCAATTATGAACTTCAAAAACATCTTAATCAAAAAATCAGTGACCAAATAACAAATATTTTTATCAAAATATTTTTCTTAATATATTGACTTGGTGAGTAATAAATATGCATTGAGTTAATAAAAAATTAATTTATAATATCTGAATACAAAAACCTTCGTAATTACCTCTATATTTTGATTAAAAATATCTGAGTATATACTAATAAAATTATACTAAATTTGTTGAAAATATATAAAAAGTTATCAAGCTATCACGTAAAAATTTATGGGTCATTTCCGACCTCTAGTAAAGATGACACTCTAGTCATTTTCAATTTAGTGGATATAACTTATTAATTACAACTAAACGAAATAGATTTTAGTAACATTGATCATTAGCGTTTGGGTTCATTAAAGATTAATAATTTTGACAAGGTTTTAGTCATGCTAGTAGAACGCGAAATGTTTTTATGTATAATATTTATCAAAAGATGAAATGTAGTATAATTTTAAGATTTAAAGTGAGGAATTAAAAACATTCAATTGAAAACACCCGACAAAAATTAAATCTACCAAACACTTATGACTGCTCTATTAGAGACTCTTACTTTAGATTTTTTTAAAAATCATTGTTTCAACATAAAATTTGATCCCCTGAGGATTTGCTTTTAAAATTTGGCACCAAAACAGGATTTAATGTTGCAAATTCAATTTTGCCTATTGGCACCAACAAAGTCACCCAATCAGAATGGTATCTTACGCAACCTAGTATATACTTCATTTAACTATTTTACATTTGAAAGAAAATATGTCACTTTAACTCATTTCTGAGCTTCATTATTATAATTTGCCAAGGTGAGCAAAGTTGAACGCTTAAGTTCAGGACGAAGACTAATTTTCATATGCTTAGGATGTGTGTATTTCCGCCGTGCTGCTTGATACTTGCTCTTATCGGCATTTACCATAATAGTCGCCATTTCTTTTGCTACAGGTAAAACCTCTCTCATTGTGTACGTACTGTAGTGAACAAGTGTTTTCGTCCAGATAGCATCTCCGTCTTGCAGATTTTCATTTCCAAGTAGGCTACAAATAAATTAATTTATTAATGAGATTTCTTGTTAACTACTTGTGAATTAAGATGTAATTAAAATAGCTAAAAATTTACAGGAAAGACAGATATATAGCTGCTGCAGCAATTAGACTAGGTGGATGATGGCAGACTTCATAATGAACCAAAGCTTGCTCCAAAAAGTATTTTGCCAGTGTATGATGTACTGGCAGTGCCTGATATAAAAAAATTAGTTATTAATAACATAATTACTCAATAACAAGCAAGATAGTAAAAGAATAAAAGATAATTACCTTTCCAGCTTTACTGTAACGCCTGAGAAAATGTAATGGCAGTGGCCTGCCAAATGAATAATCAAGAGTTTTAATGATCAGCATTTCCATTTGAATAATTTCTGCTTTTGTGTAAGCATTATCGGTGATATACACAAAGTCGCTGATATCTGGAGAATACATTTCTTCATATTTGCTAGCTATAAACATAGCAGTTACTCCTACTAATTGCAACCTTTTACGAGTAATCAGGTTGAATTTCTGTTGAATAAAAAAATAATGGCATAAATAATATATTTATAAGTGGTATTCAATTTCATAATTTTCAATTTACCTGAAGAAAACGATCAATTATCGCAATTGTCAGGTACAATGTTTCTTGCATCAGATGGAACTGTTCGTGAACCTCAATAAGCCAGTCAACCAATACACATCTCATCTTAGGGGTGACTTCTTGACCTTGCAAAAACCCTTCAGCTATAGGAAACTGTGCTTCAAGATTTCTCAAATGAGTATAAATATCGTTGCTATATACAGAAACAAGGATGGGATTTTTTCTATCTTCTTCGTCAATGTCCTCAATCAAGATTTGATCGGAAGAAAAGGAATCCACCTTATTACAATTGATTGCATTAGATTCTTTCTTAGGTTCAACTAATTTTTCAATCTCCTCATTTTTTTCGACTTTTACGGTCGGCGGTTGAACATCGACTTTAATCGCATTTTTCGGAGCAACTACCGTTGGCTTGACAATCTCCTTTCTTGCAACAACTTTGTCAGTTTTTTCAACTTTGGTGACCTTGACCGCAGTTGGCTTGGTGGTCAATATGGGCTTTTTCAGGATTACTTTATCCTTCGCAATTTGACTAGATTTGCCGGTAACATCGTTCGTCCGTAGACCGATGACTTTGTTGCCGATTTCACCAAGAGCAGCTCGCCTCGTCTGGCTGCCCGCCAAAGTCATGGATTTTACATTCTTGACATTTTCCTGGTTGGCAACGTTCTGTAGCATAAGGAAATAATTCATATAATCCTAAGTTAAAATATTTCATCAGAATAAGGTTCAACGTGGATCAAACAGATTGCTCGTTGGAGTGCCGCGTCTCGTTTTTAATAGCCCATCAACGCTGCATGATAAAAAGGAGCCGAAATCTCACGGAAATTCCAAATTCAGCAACTCAATTCATTTCCACCGCAAAAGATTATTATCGCTTTTCCTCGTATGTTTTCTATCAAAATAAAGGGACGATCGACGAAACCGAGAGAAAGTATTACGAAGTGTTGTAAGTAAATAAAACCCAATTGCGATCTGTGAGACAACAACTATGAGTTTCACAAAATCCATGTACCCTTTAATGATCAAATGTAAAATAGTAAATGGCATCGTTTTTATACATTTGAAAAACAAGAGAGTAAAACTGACGGCAAACTGGCTGGACATTGCAGCAGGAGAGGCGCGTGATAACATCTCTAGCTTTTGGCGGTCTTCCGCACGCGCAGATCGTCTTTCTATAAAATTTCAGCTACACCTAGGAGAGTATAGAGGAGATTCGAAGACGTGCAGCAGAAAAAAAAATGCCTGACCGTTTGAGCAAAGGGAGGTGCAGCGCGAGAAAAAACGCGCGATTTGCACTAGCTCCGCTATATCTCCCTCCTTTTCTCGCACTAGAACTCCTCAATCGCACCGGCCGCTGGGGACACATATATTATTTACATACGAGCGATGATTTCAATCTGTGCACTCGAAAATACTGATTGAGACATTTTCAAAGTATAGGAAAGCGAAGCACGTTCGGGCCAGCGAGAAAAATACGACCGTTGAACTCTCAAGGATCAATATAGAGAAATTAAAGCATCGTGGCGTAACGCGGGCATATTATCTCTGAACTCACACAGAGACGCAGGCATCGCACCAACACGCTGACGGGGCATTTAAATGTGCGTAACGGTCGCGCGTCCCTCTTTTTTATCGCGCGCAACGATGATACAACCGATAAGAATTATGCGGCTATTGTAATTAGACAAAAAAGATTGATCAAGACTCACCAAGTTAACAGCACGATTTCTCAGCGCCATGTTTACACAAGTCGGCGATATAAACAAATCACAAAGCCCAAGGAGCACAGGAACAACAACCAAGCGATGTTAGCACGTATGTGTATACGAGTCGACGACGGGTGCGTGTGTGTATACACGTTTAGTTTACGTCTATTGGGCAAACGTTAGCTGAACTGTGAGATTGGCTTCGGGTTTGGAACGAATTCGCACAGCATCGAGAGGCAGGAGGACTTGATGATCCTTTATATGTACTTGTTTTTCCACAATGTGAAAAAGGTGAAAAATTTTGGGTTAAAACACGACGACGCCAAAAAGGACGGCCGACTCGACGACGATGCAGCTGTGCAGCGAGCGCGTTCGATTGCTGAGTTACTCCCGTTCACGTATATTAAAAGTCGCACTCGTCGCGCCTTCAACCGTCGTTTTTCGCCGCCGTTTTGCTGCTGCTGCTGCTTGCTTGCTCTCTCTCGCTCGCTCGCTCGCTCGCTCGCTAGGTCTGGGCGCGCTCTCCTCGCCGCCCTGCCTGCTGTATATTATAAACCTCGCTCTGTCTCGCTTCCCAACGCTCCTCGGCTTCCCCTTTTCGGCCTACGTATGCGGCAACTAGTGAGAATATATCCAAGTCAACGCTGTATGTGTGTATATAACACACAGGGATCGTTTGAAATACTACCACCACCACCACTGCTAGCGGCGCAGCACCACCAAGCCACTCTGTGTCTCGCCTCGGCTCTGGCGCGCTATCCCGGCGCTCGTCGAGTTCTTTTCTCTCTCTCTATCGCTCGCTCGCTCCTGAAACGGGCCCTGAGAAATGCCAACCGTTTTTTCGATTGCGTATAGGACACACATGTGTGAGATACGCTGCTACGGGTACCAGAGCGCGGAGATGTGTTTTGTACGAACCTATACATGTACAGGGGCTAAATGAATCGCATCTGTGTGCCGGAAGTTTGCTGCGTAGTGGGAGTCTGAATCTGGCAGCTTATTGGCTCATTTCGAATTTTCGAATTTCATGTTTTTATCGTTTGCTCGCGACGTTAGGCAATGCAGACTCGGGCCATTTAAATACTTCGATGTGTGCGAGCTGATATAGGACTTTCTAAGCTGTGTCGTAGATTTTTTTCAATTCCGAGAAACCGCCAACCTGATCTCGTGAGAGGCACCGAAATTCTTGCGTTATTGGCAATTTCAATTTCAATTTTTTTCTATATAGATACAGACTTCAAACGAGTACAGGATTCGCTGTTACATCTGATTCCTCGATAGGTCTCAAGTGCTCCGATTTTCAGATGCGGCATTGAGTTATTTTTAGAACTTTTGGATTCTAATGTTGGAAATTTCGGGGTCAATGTAGGTCAAAGTCACGATTCTAATGGGGCAACGTGACATTATTCCTTGCAGCGTATTGCAAGTTAAACATTGACTTTTGAACGAAGGAATGCAAAAGCCGTTGAGAGTCGTTAACGCTTCGTGGTGGGGGAGCGAGTTGTTTTTTCGGTCCCTTTAAACTTGGAGCGCGTGTCCGCGCGCTCGTTCTCTGCTTTTGCCTAATGGAGGAATATCATTTCCCTGTATTACTATAAGTCACGCATCGTGAAACATTTCTACGGTTTATGAATAAGAGTTAACAAAAGGGGAAAACTCACAGTTACCGCATGCGGATGCGGACAGTGATTGTAAAGCTTGCGTAAGCATATTTTTGCCTCCCTTTCTGAAGTTCTCGAAAGTCCTGTAGTTTCACGCTAGTTCAAAATAAACAATTTTTGATATTTTTTACTTCAATCGACCATATGGAGTTTACGTTGGAATAAAATGGATTCCTCATTAGGCCACTAATGACGATAATGAATACCAACACATCTGCTCTTCATCGACGGTGACGTGAATTAGTAACGACTTTTTACGTGTGCCTCCCGGACTTTTATAGATTTGATTTGAGATATACAAGTTGGGCTGAAAATGATGGTTTCATCTTTTTAAAATAAATTTATCGATAAACTTCGAAAAATTGATCGAATTTATTTAAATGTTTTCCATGTCGCAGTAAATTTTTCAAAGTGATATGACATGATTTAAAAGTCTATGTAAATTATCCAAACCACCTCAATTTATTTTTATGTTTAATATAACGAAAAACAATCTGAATAGGCACCAACGAGGATTCCGTGGCGCAAGTTTTGCGGTGGGATACGTATAAAGAATTGAAGTTCATCCATTGGTAGGCCTCTACAAATGAATAACAAAGTCGGTTTCACTTTGAAACTCATCTAAGAAAATGTGGCTCATAGACTTCTCAAAATACTTCACTGGAAACTTCGTGAGAGAATGATTTCTGAACGAGTTCCGGATATCGAATGAAGTTACGATGATTGTTATGATACACTTCATATTGTACAACGAAGAATACTTGTTTTTCAATTTTCATTGATTTTGTGGGCTATTTTACGTCTGAAACATGGGATTTAAGACAAAAATCGGAACCTTCAGCTTCCTTCAAAGTACTTTTATAATAGAATAAAAGTTGAAAATAAAATTTATCTTTAATTGGTAATGTTAAGAATTCGATAACTGTGCATGACAAATTAATTATCTAAAGTAGGTAAATGATTCTCAAAATTAATAAAAAATGTTGATATTTATCAATTAAAAAATGTTCTCTTCTTAAACATTGATTGGAACATCTTGATAAAACAGTAAATTGAAATTAACGTGTGAAAGGCCAATCTTAAAACTCCTTTGATTTTTTGACAGCATGTAATTTGTGTTGCCATCGACGAAGTCAAAAAACTCCGGATTTCGAATGTCAGATTATTCTATCTGTCGTCTGCTAAGTCAACTTACGGACGGGACGCATAAACACTGTATCTTTCATCTTGTAAGTGAAAACTGACAGATGCATGTTCATGTCCCCGTATGAGTAAACATGTGTTTGTTATGAAATTCACGTGTATCAATGTACTTTAACAATTTAATGATTTGAGAGTATAAATTAAAGGAAGCTACTACTTTTATACTCATTAAAAATGTCTATTAACCTCGACATAAAGCTTAAACGAGCAAGTAAAATTTATCGAGAAGGTGTAAGTCGGCTTTACTGTGTTTAAAAATATTACTTTTTTTTACAAAAAATTCATAATCGACGTTGTTGCAGGAAAATGTGAGTGGATTCATTCTTCTGCAGACAAATTCCGACGTCAAGCACGATGGAATATATCTCACAATGGAAGGTTTAGTCAACCTGCAACTTAGTTCTAAAACTGTTGGTATCTTTGAAGCCTTAACCAATTCAGTTAAGGTATGAGGATTTTATTATAAATAGTGGATACTTTGATGTACTTGCTCTGACAATAACTCTTTCTTCTTTAAAGCCAATTCAGCTGGTACAATACACTGTGGAAGTAGCACCTGCTGGAAAAATACCTAGTGGCAAAACAGAAATTCCGTTTGAGTTACCTTTGAAACCCAGAGGTTCAAAAACATTGTATGAAACATATCATGGGGTATTTGTTAATATTCAGTATTTAGTTCGGTGTGATATTAAAAGGAGCTTTCTGGCAAAAGATGTTAATAAGTCTTTGGAATTTATGGTAGAGGATAAAACATCAAAGTCAATAGACAAGGAGTCTCGTAAACCTGTACCATTTAAAATACTTCCAGAATCTGTACAAAACACTAAAGAGAGAACTGTTCTTCCAAGATTTGTTATTTCTGGTCACATAGATTCACTTTGTTGCAAAATTTCTGAGCCTTTGACTGGTGAAGTTATAATTGAGAGCTGCGATGCTATTGTAAAATCGATTGAACTTCAATTGGTTCGAGTAGAAACTTGTGGATGTGCTGAAGGATATTCCAAAGATGGTATTGCATTTTAATTTCAATTTCACCCATGTTTGGATAGAAAAAAATTTTCAATATATGTTTCATGTTTCATTCGATTTAGCAACTGAGATACAAAATATACAAATTGGAGAGGGCAATGTGTGTACAGAGTTAGCTATTCCAATTTATATGATTTTTCCAAGACTCTTCACTTGTCCAACTCTTATAACTAGCAACTTTAAAGTTGGTAAGTTTAACAGAAAATAAAATTTATTTGTACTATACAAAATTCAATATTAAACTAGATTAATAAAATGCAATTCATTTTTAATTACAGAATTTGAAGTTAATCTGATTGTTGCCTTTGAAGATGATTACATAGTAACAGAAAATTTTCCTATCACTTTAACAAGACATTAAAAAAAGCTAATGCAATATTTACTGTACAGTTTTTTTTATTTGTACATAAATCGATTTATTTATTGTACATATTTTATATAATATAAACCAAGGTGTATTTTAAATTTATTGATTTTTTCCTCTAAAATGTATGAATACGCAGTGATGTTGATTGCACTTGAAAGTATATAAAAAGAAGGTAGGTATCAACATTGTTATAAATATGTCATTCAAATTTTTACAAGCACATACAAAACTTTTATATGCTTTTTTTCTTAGACTTATCAGTCTAATCCAAATTTACGCATTAATAATTTAAAGTATCTCTCAACATTTCTGTTGTGAGTCAATCCAACAGAGGCAAGCAGTACTATGTAACCAAACATGAATGTTAGCAGTTTGTGTTGTCTGAGCCATCCTACCATTCCAGAATTTCGCGCCGCTCTGAAAAATATTTAAGTTTTTATTATCAATGTTTTAATATTATTATAAAATTTATTTAGTAATCCATTTGAAGCATTACCTGGCTCTACCAAATTCTTCACTGTACACCAAGAGATATCGAATTCTGACTAATTCATTATTAAGAACTAAACAGTACTTGTTAGGTATTTTTCCACCTACAGATTCAGGCGCTAAATTTCTTGCAGCATCATCTAAACATAATATAAATGTTTTAAAATAATTTAAATCCAATAATCTGCGGAAAAATTTTAAAAAATGTAAAAAGAAATTCTTACCAGTGTCACCTATTTTCACATCTGGATGATTAATTACTTCGCACAAAGCCACACAGCTTAGGGTACTTCCCAATATACTTGCACCCCAAGAGTGCCCAGAAGGACTATAAGGTAGGCTAACACCTAGTTCTTTGGATAGATATATTCCTTTTCCAAATAATGATTTCTAAAATAAATTTATACAAAGATTTTTTTTGTGATACTATTGAAAGAAAGTAAAAATATTATAATATGTACTTTGCACAAATGCTGTTGTAGTCCGTAATGAATGATTGAGTGAAAATTCTCAAGTCGACTACCATGATAAGCATAAAATGTGGAATGTCCTGTAGCAAGTTCCCTCCACTTCTCTTCAGATGTAGACTGTCGAGCACTAGCTACTTGAAATATTAAATTTGGTTCTGCTGCAGGTAATTGTGATCCTACTCTCTTCAAAACAGATTCATACTAAAAAAACCACAGTGATTTAAATTTGAACATTGAATTTTGTAAAGTTTTTTTTTCTACAGTTATACTTACACAGTCTTTATTAATACTTCTTATGTGTAAATCCTTCAACTTTACTAATACCCAATAAAGTAATTCAATAGTGGGACCTTTATTTTTGTAAATATTTGGTTGCTTGAGTTGTTGTATTACAACAGTCATTGGTGGGACAAACTCTACAGCTTTTCTCTGAAATTCAATAAAAAAATTATTTATAATAATACAATTGTTATTCATTATATAATCAAGTTATATCATTGAATTTTTTGCATTATTGATATAATCGCTATGTATTTACTAACCAAAGCATCAATATCTTTGGTTTCGTTCTTGATGTACATAGGTGGAAATGGCCTTAGGCAAGTATCAAATCTATAAGTATGACATGCAGCCACAAAAAGAGACCATTTAAGGTCAGCTGCTCTGATATCCTTTTCAAGGACGTACTTAAGAGAGAGTATCTTTCGCTCTGCATCCTCCTGATTGATAAGAGCATCAACATTGGCAGGAGCAGATACAACTTCAAACTCAGCTTGTCCAGCTTTGGCAGATGTTGAAGGATCATTGTTATCTTTTATATCCATACATTTATCAGCTACTGGAGCTTTATTCTCTAGACATGTCATGTCAGTTGGTGGTGCATCGCCTTCATACATTTTGAAAGTTTATTTTTGGACAAAATACTCTGAAAAAGTGAAGAATATATTAAATTTTAAGAAAAAAATGTTCAACCAGTACGTTTCTTATTGTAAATTTTCGCATTTTATACATTTATGAACAAAAGTTGAGTATTTATATGCGCAACGAGATTACGTATTAGCGATATACTCACATTACTCAAGTCGTGACGGACTATTTTAATGGAAACTTCACGATGAATTTAACAATCGAGCTCGCTGCTGATGATCGACCTCGTCATTGCAAATAATGGACGATAAAGACGCAAGAAAAATATGTATATAAAAGTTGTCTAATGCGCCGTGTGCCGAGCGTTAGAAATGCTTGCGTGGAAATATTCTCTGCTGCGATTGAAGCTCGTGTCTGCGTGTACGTATACACACTGTATGTAGAATAAAAAATTGTCGAACGGGGGGCCAGACAGCTCCACGGCAGCGATTCAACGACGATTCCAGGTCCAGGCGGACCCGATTCTGCACGACCTGCCGCAGAAACTGCGACGACGACGGCGAAGTCGACGTTGAATCCGTGCGTAGTAGCTGGTTGCTGCGCGTTGTGTGACAGCTCCCCGATTTTCTTACACACGCATATATATATGTAGGTATAACTGTATATATATGTAACGCATGCAGATGCAAGCACACGCGTACGGACACACACACGGACACAATTGAACGGGCACTTGAATGTGTCAGTCACTGCATCTATAGTCTTTTGTTATTGTCGTTTGACAACATCTGCGCCTATATCCAGCACATTCGAGTCGATATAATGATACGCGCATATATATTTACGCGTGAGAGCTCGCGCGCGCGCGCGCGTGTATATAGACACAAAGTGTAGCTATACATTTAATTATAGCAATCGATTACATATAGCTGACGGGGATTCGCATCGTACGCGTATACAATAATATACGTTGTTGACGTTGCTCGCTAAAATGCTAAGCCTCGGCGAGAGCTGCTTTGTACTAATGCTCCGCAATGAATCTGCCAACTGGTGTGCTCGAAAACAATGTAGTCCCAAGCCCCGTCACAATACCGAGCTCGCCGCGGTGCATCGCGCGGGTATCAGGCATTGGACCACGTATGCGATATCGTCATATCACGCGAGCTATATTATGCACTCTGGCCTGCAGCGCTTCGCTGCAACGTATATTACTACCAGCAGCAGCAGCAGCAGACGACGCTAATCCAGTGCGATTCGTCGTTCTCCGTCCTTCTCGCACCGATATAGTCGTAATGCCGCAGGGGCTTTAGTGCGACGATGAGTCGACGCGGGGGGGATCGAGCGAGACTCGGAGATTATTTTCGCGAAGCAGTCCGAGCAGTGCTGCCATCGTCGGGGGATTCCTCGAAGCATCTTGACGAGTTCGTGCGGCTTCGAATTTTGCTCGTAACGGACTGTAGGCAAGATCGAAATCATTTTTCGAAAATTAAACAATTTCATGGAAAATTTTTTAACATCACGTCAGAATGAACCTTAGTGTAAGTCAACATTCAGTTGAAAGACAAACGAAATTATCGCGCTTTCGTCAAATCGTAAATGTATTCGGTCATTAATTATTGATATGATATCCAAAAATTTGGCACATGATTCGTTCGCAAGAGTTTGCTTGTACGAAGACATGGAAACCATTGGCTATATTATAAATCAATTGTAAAAAAAACTCGTTTACGTATCGCACAAAGTCAGTCAATGTGTCAAGTCAAACAGTCGGTTTATTAAGGCCTCGACCGGTGGCGCCCTTGATATTTCATATTACGTAAAAAAGTTAGGTGCTGTTAAATCTTAGGTACACATACACATCATAATCCGCGCTTATAGTTTATTTGCATTTAAGAAGCTTATCCAATTAAAATTATTCAACTCTCGAGCTGTCGGTGCTTTTTTACGTGTTTATTAGGCGCGTAAGGATGAAACTTAATCCATTTCATTATGTAAATTGACAAATTTATGCACAATTTTAAGCAGAAAAGGCAACGATCATATTATTAATGGAGATGTTATAAGTTAATTCTTCGATAGCCTATAGTTGGTAAATGATTTTGATGCCGAGATAAAAAGGAATATTCATTTTACAAACTGATTTAAAATTTTGTATGCTGCGGTACGTGTGCGCGTCGGTTCACTCACGAGGCAGAAGCATAGCGGTCATCGAACCAAGTGTAACAAATCATAGTCGATATTTATCGAACTAAAACGGTTTTATGAATTTTTGAATTCGGTAAATTTTAAATAATTGATCTGATTAATTTTGAATTTCTAAATAAATAAAACAAAGCCATAGTTGCATCATTCAATCAAAAGTTCTTTTTAATTTAAATTTCAGAGGAGATAAATAATTGAACTAAATCAAGAACTATAATTTGAAATTATAGATAAATTTCGGAATTTTTTGCTCCATTTCATACACAAAATATTCTGATAAAAAATGTAATCGAAAGTATGCATACTAAATCGAACCGTAATATTAAAAAGTTCTGCATTGTTATAAATATTTTTACAGATGTTTCAAAAAGAAAATATTGATTTTCGTATAATCAAAAACGATCAATCGATCAAATTTACAAAATTATTCGAGTTCAGGGGCATATCAAACTCGAGATGAAAAAGAAAAGCTCTCAGCTACTCTTACCTAAATTCAATTCTCCTAATTAAATTCCCACAAAGCAATTTTCTAAAAAAGTGCGTGGGCGTGCGTGAGCAAAAACGAGGTCAACCTATACCTTTTCAAAGAATGTTCGATAGAAAGCGATTCACTTTCGTTTGACCACCTATACACACGAGAAACGATTTGGCCTATGAAACGTAACGTAGAAAAATTTCGAAAAAGTAGTCGTTTGAAGCTTTTCGCAGACGTGCTCTCGGTGCATTACAAAACGTTATACAGCACGATCTCTTGTGGTGCAAATCTTTCCAACAAGTTACATTTCATCAACCAAAACCATCTCTGCGTGTCGGATAGACCGCAGGATCGCTCGAGTCTGATCACATATAGTGGTTTCTACTTGTATCCTGGAAACCTTTACAGCGCGTCATTGATCCTTCGGAGCTACACCACATAGTGGATGGGCATTCGTTCGATTCATCGTTTAATCTTTATAAGAAAAATGGATGAAAAAATGGAAAAAAGTAAAAGTGAAAGCTCGATGAATTACGAGTAGGAGGCTGAGGCGTCGTTTTACAGAGAGTAGATTTTTTTGCTCGTACTCTTGCGCTCGGAGATTCTCGTTAACGTAATCGTTGTCTTTCTCGGTCGGATTCGTCGTTTTCTCTCGTCGTCGTCATCCTCATGCCAATTGAGAAAATCGCGCGCACCGAGAGTCGCAATTATTCGAAACCCTTTTTTCCGTCGCGCGCAATCATCGGCCGGCTGCGATCCGCTGTATATCATGGCCATAGGCGCGAGAGGCGGCACGTGTCCTTAAAAAAACCTGAAGCGCGCAAAATGCATGCCCTCTCTCTCTCTCTCTTTCTTTATAATATGAGCTCTTGAATACATATCCTCTTGGCGAGGCTCGTCGACGGTATAAGCTTTTATCCAGATACACACACACACACTTTATATGTACAAAAGTTGCATACTTGTGCAACTGAATACGTTGGAGCAGGGGCCCGGTTTTCTCGTTACAAATTCTCTCTCTTTCTGTCTCATTCTCGCTCTCCTTCTCGTTTTTTCCAACTGGTCTCTCGGCTTCTTGTCGTCGTCGTCGTCGTCGTCGTGTATAAGATACAGCTCGGTGCATGTGCGGTTTGTCCGCGTCTCTCTCTCGTGCTGTGCAGTCGCAGCAGAGTGGCTGGCTCGAGTCGAGTAACAGCGGCGGCGGCGGCGGCGGCAGCCGTTCGCGCTCCGAGCCAGAGCCGCTCAATGTCATGCCTCAAGGTAAACTATCAATGACGTCATGCACGCGATATCTCCGTGTATCTGTGTGTGCCCAGCAGCGGCGTTGCGCGCACCCGCTCGCATGTGTATACAGTCGGACGACTTTACTCGCTTTGCGGCGGCGTACGTGTGTATTAAGGTATATAGGATGTTGGTATAGGTATATTAAATGCGCGCACACACACACGGACGAGACTCGATCGGGTGGGGGAGATTCGCGCGAGGATACGTAGGTGCACCGACTCCCACTTTTTGCACGCTGTACAGAGTGGAAAGAGACTCTCCGTGCATTATACCGTGTGCTGCCAACCTACGTGACATTTACATTTACATATAAGCTATATAAGCGCACAGCGTGTACGAGTATAAACGAGTGCGGTGGCTGACTACTCGTCGATTCTGCACCCAATAAAGGTGCTTATTTATCTATTACGACTTGCTCCATATATCGAGCGCGTTATAATGTCCATGATGCATCGAGCCGTATGATTGCAATGAGCTATAGCTATACCATATTCCGTCCGATCATCGGACTCTACTCTGCGCACGGAGTCGAGTCGACTCGCGGCCAACGCCGCCGCTCCTGCTTATACTTAGCTTATAGCTCTGCTCCGCATTCGAGCAGCTCGTTCGGCGCGGCGCGTCATGTTTTTTAACAAGTGGGAGTGGGATCTATCTCTCGCGCTCGACTTGGCGTGTATATACATACATACATATACACAGGCACGCACACGCTCGTATGACTCGTGCGCGCGTGAGCCGCACAATTTATCCTTTCTCGTTCTTCTCTCTCTCTTACTTTTTCATTACTTTATATACTCTTATATACCTATACACTGCTTATGTATGTATACATGCACGCGCGCGATACAGCCCCGGCTCGACGAGATTGGGCCGAGCGCAGTCGGTCGGTATGTTGTGCGAAACGGCGACTGCTTTGCTCGCGAACACGCGCGTATATGTATGTATGTGTACGAGAGTCGCGAGAGTGAGATTACCGCAGATATACGGCGGCGGAGAGGCAGGCAGGCAAGCGAGAGAGCCAAGTTGCCGAGACTCACGCACACACATATATAGCCAGTGTATGCAGACGATCGCCTCCTCGGTATATAATTCGCCTGCGCCACTGCTTCTGCTTTTGCACATACACACAGACACTTATAGGTTGCCGCGCGCACACAAGCTTGGCAGCGACTGGCATTTTCATATACTCGCGCACGCACACCTATATACACGGCACGAAGAGGATATTCAAGTTGCCGCTTGCAAGCAGCAGCATTCTCGCAGGCGGCTACTCTCGCATTGGCACACGAGCAGTGTGTGTTTATACGCGACTCGTTGTTGCTGTTGCTCAGTGCGCAGAGTGCTCACTGCTGTGCACTGCTGCTGCTGCTGCTGTTTCTGTTGTTGCTCTCACTCGGTGTGTTTTGTGTGTTTGTGTGCTAATATATATTAAATATATATAGTGACCGTATATCTCGTGTGCCCTCGTGCAGTATCGTACTTATGCTGTTGTTGTGCGGGCAAACATAATAATTGCAGATATTAATTCGTATGTATCGTCGAGCGACGACGACGTGAGCGACGTTCTGTGTGTGGCGGTGCAGGCGGCAGCGGCGGCGACGACGACGACGATACCTACTGCTCCGATCAACGATCAACCGCATAGAACGATACGACGGCGACGTTGTTTTTCTCATGTCTCGCGGGCGAGGCGACGCACTGCACCTCTTGCACGCCGATCAGTCCGTAAGTTTATACTCCTCTTCTGCAACACTCGTCTGTTAGCAAAAAAATAAAACGTGCTCTCCCCAGCAAAAATCGACCTTCCAAAGTAGCAGCAGATAATGTTATGTACGCGAATTTATCGGCATTTTTTTTTGTAACGTATACGATACATACGTATCGCGAGTGTGAGTTAAATCAACAAGTGTTTGCGCGTTCGCGCTTGCCGCGCTCTGTTCGTCGTTGGTTATACACACTTTTATTTTTATTTTGCCCTGCTGCTGCTTCGTCTCCTTTTTTCTTTTCGAACGCGATCGAAGAAGTTTAAAAGCACCGATCGCAACGCCGAACGCACATTTACTCTGGCATGTATGCGAAGGAAAGCGCTGATGTACAGGCACGTATTCCTATACATACATATGCATGCCATGTAATCACGCGCAAGTGGGTGATAATGTGACGGAGCGACGAATATTCGCCGGATCGGTTGATGCGCGCGGCGACGTAACGATATGCTGTATACATTGCTCGTTGCATGTGTACCCGAGCGTTTGGCACGTATACATGCGAGATGTATATAGATATAGAATAGATGTTATAACATGTGGGCGAAAACGACACCGTAGCAGACCGCAAAACGACGTCTCTCGTAGACTCTTATGCTGCTACAGTAGCACGAGAGCAGCCTCGCACATGTATGGTGGATATAATAGGCGCATAACTATCGCCATTCGTCGGGTTTTGCGTGCGAATCGCGCGTCAACTGCTACATAAACTCATTCACACACAGAGTCGTCGATAAATGTTCAGACGAATACATCATCTCTTCGCGACTTACCTGTACATCAGCTTCGCCTTCTCGTCTTCTCCTTGCATTATACATGTAAACACGCATAGACGATACGTGTGCATAGATAAGAAGAATAGCTTGGCATCGCGCGTATACGTGCACACTCCTACACACGCGCGAGTACACACACGCACTGTCAGAGAGCTGCGCACAACAAGGTACTCTACTATATGCATACGTGCATGCGGCGTTGTACACGCACGCGCGACCCATTATATCATAATTAAATATTCGTCGACGGCGTGCACTTGAAAGTTCAAGCTCACTCGGCGAGAAATGCGCCGCGGCTTAGAATGACTCGGAGTGAAAGTTTTTGTATACATAACACGGAGAAAGACATAATATTGTGTGTCGCTGATCCGGCCGGGTTATTATAATATGTAGATCGCTGTATATGTAATAAAATAGCTCGTGTGCATACATATACAATGTAGCGCCTCCAAATCGACGCGCGGCCGTGTTTTATGTTATACCTACTATAGTGGTGAGCAAAATTGGAGCAGAAATGTCGAGGCGCGCGCGCGCACGCTTACACCTACTACCTATAATGCCGAAAAAGCGCTACTGTGCGCGCTAAGCACGCGACTACCGTAGGCCTACCGAGAACGATATATCCTTCGTTCTGCTCCCGATTTTTTCTGTTGAAAGAGAAAAATCGAATTCTCATCTTCGTGTGTATGTGTGTGTGCGTACTGTGTAGCGAAGATGCGCGAGCATGTCTGCGTGTACTCACACGAGCGAGAGTGAGTATCATCGTGCAGCAGTGAGAGCGCAAAAATGTGTGTTGTGTGTGTGTGTGTGTGTGTGTGTGTGTGTGTGTGTGTGCATGTGTATGTATCGCGCACAACATGGAAAATCACCGAAAAGATCGTGCGCATGTCCGTGCACAGGCTGCTTCATATACATATATAGCATACATACATATACCTCTGCAAGAGACTGCTGTTTCTTGCGTGACGTCACTCTCTCTCTCTCGATTCAGCGAGTCTCTGCGAGCGCGAATGTAGTAGTAGCGAGTAGTTGCCAACTCTTCTCTCTGGCACATATTCCATCCTACTCTTACTCTTTATATAATTCAGACTGCCGCCGCCGCCGCTGCTGCTGTTGTCGCCGATGCGCGACTCTGTGTGTCAGTGTATCGCCTGCATATGTATGTATACGCGCTCACACACTGGCGACACACTCGGTCGAGTCGAGTCTGTTTATGTATATAATACATGTGTGCGAGTATGGACTGCGGGACTGGTCGAGCTGTGTAAGTGTCTCTGCGTGTATATGTACACAGCTTGCGGCTTACACATTGGCGAGCACGATCGCGTCGCCAGGCGCGCGCATCTTTCGACTTGCGCGATGTAGGTATATAGAACGCGTTAGCGAGCATCGACTGTGCCGCCAGCAGCAGCAGCAGCAACTCAGCCATGTGTAATTGTGTACGTGCACGACGAGCTTACATACGTGCATGTATTATAGCAGTAGGTATTTTATACACACACGTACTGTAACACACGCACGTATAGGCGCATGATTTTAGCGCGCCGAGCAGCAGCACTGGCCTGCTAGGGCATATAGTGCAAAATTACGCTCCGCATAGCCTATATTATGTGCCTCGTGCAACTGCACGTTATCGTGCATATTGACAGTTCTGCTGCTGCTTCATCTGCTAGTGCTTGATACTTTTTTGGCTATTGCCATGTTGTGTTCGTTGTCGTAGACGCGCGCCTGTATACGTGGGTGCGCGTGTACCATTATACGTGTGTCTGTGTGTACACAATATGATGTAAACTATCGCTCGAACCGCGAGTGTCAGTCGGGCGCGCGGCCTGGACGAGCTTCGGAGCTTTCGACTTTCTCCAAAGCGCGATATATAACAAGACAGCTCCCTACACAAATTGTATATAACCCGCAAGCACAACGCGCCGGGCTTTTTTTTCTTTCTCTTTACGTCGATGTGTGTGTGTGTGTGTTTTTTATCATAACGTGCGACGACGATTCGTGAATTGGAAGAGCTTGATACATCGACCGACTCCTGCCTGCCGCCGCTGTGTGTATATAATATTTCGTTTTCAGCATGTATATCTGTCGTACCGCTCTTATTACGTACGGTCCTGTGTGTGCTACTACAGTAGACGACAACCAAGACGACGATGACGATCGAGACGACGCGAGGGTTCGACTATAGAGTCGCGTTTGCGTCAACGCTCGGCCGTCGTCGTTGCCTACTACGTACAGCGTGTAAAGGCGCAAAAATTTTTCGCTCGTCTTTTTCAAGGTCGATTCGTCGCGTTTAATAAAATAATTAATAAAATTAACAAGCAGTGGACGCGACTGACCGACTGACTTTCGCAGCCACCCCTCCATATAGCCCCTCTAGCGATTGCTCTCGTGCACGCGCACACACCCGCGCGACAACTTGTTGTTGTTTTATGTAGAAAGCTCGATGTACAAAGGACGGAAAAGCCCCTCGTGGCTCTACGTCAACGCGCGCCGCTGCATTCAATACTCTCGATTGCCTCGCTTATATGCATACAAACGTGTGTGTGTGTCCGTAAAGGTAGGTGCGCGTCTGTGCTGCTGCGAAAATCAGTTTCACCTCTCGCGTCCACTGCGTGCTGCTCTCTCGTGCGGCCAAACAAACGTGCGTCGTCGGCACTCGCTGCGATGATTAAGCTTCTTCTATGCGCTGTCTCGAGGCAACTCTGTTAAGCCTTTTTCTAATGCCTTATACGTGTGTTTGACACTTTTTTTTTCATTTTTATTTAGCAACGATTTTGCAAACGAACTTTGGAGACACGTACGCAACTCGAGCTTTTTCGAGTAAACAACGTCTCGCCGCGTACATAAGATACATTATATACTAATTTGCCTCGCCCTCGGTGTTTTTGGCCGATCGAGTTTTTGTCTATCTTGTGTCAAAGTGACGTATCCACGGCTCAAGTTCAATACTTATTTACCGATAGGTTCATTACTGTGATATAACACGTCTCGGAAAAGTGACCTCTCGACTGGCGGCGGCGGCGCTTCTCTCTCTCTCTCTCTCTCTCTCTAAGTGCTCCATGTGTTCTTAGTGATTATCGTATACTACGAACGCAGACACACATGTTACGCTTATTTATTTATCACTTAGACGATTAATTTGCGACTGTGGTGATGTTGCCAAATAATTCACTGGTGAATTTGATGATCGAGCGATCGAAAATGATCCTTCGGCTTGAGCCAGACTCGAAAACACCTACTCTGGATTCGTGAGGATCTGGTGAGTCTTTCAAAAACAGTTTTAATTATGCAAAATATTGAACGCGCGACAATGCCCTTTTGCATTTTGATGAGCGTATCAAAAATGACGAATATACACGGTTGGCGTGCCAAAGCAACGTATTTTCAAAAAATACATTTTAGGAGCAACGTTCGTCTAACGACGTGCAGTCTTATAGTACTCGGTTGTTATTCTTAGCGATTCGAAAATAGAAAATACCTAGCGCAACTTTTTTATGCACTGTGCATGAATTTACACAACATGTCAGCCGCGCGAGCATATAGTTGCGCTTCAGGAAATTTTTCAATGGACACCAGTGAAAAGACTCGTGATTTAAAAACGTACAATAGGCAAAGTTATCGGAGCTCTGTAGGCGGCCTTTTCAATCAATGTCGCGATCATATTACCCCGACACATAATTAAATTATGCGCGCGCTACGTGTAACGAGACGGAAATAATTAAATTTTCAAACGCGGGTGTATTTAGAGGTTTAGTACGTTAACCAAAGCAGTCGGGATAGTAGCATGAAAACCGACCCTTGATGCTATACCCTTTATCGAGTTGATTATACTTGTCGCCTAGACAATGTAAGTGCGGTAATTGAAAACATCACGTGTAACATCTGTAAATATCAACAAAAAATGCAATCGCTCAAAGCACACGACATTTTTTTCAATTTTTTGCTTATCGATGGCATTGGTTCGGAATGAATTTAGACCCATACAGATATGCAGCTTGCGTTAAATACAAATGCACTCTTACGTGCGAGTAATCCGTAGGTCGCGTTGCCAAAGTTTTTTCTCTCTCTCTCAGTCTTGGCGTTTGAAAGCAGCGTGACCGCGAAGGCTTGCTAAAATTCTGGCCAAATATTGACTTTTAGCCAGGCAACAGCAGCAGCAGTACACCAGCTGGTGGGTAAGAAACAGCAGCGCCGCAGCTGCAAGCAATGTAACCGAGGCAGTAGTACAGGTATACGACGGGCGGCATAGATATAGCTGTGGAGCGGCTTAGCACCCTTCGTTCGGGTCTTACCTTACCCTTACACTCACTACTTATACCTTGCGGCTGCGTTGGAATTTAGGATTACTGCCCGGCCAGCTCGAACTCGTTTGCTCGTTTATTTACCACGTTCTAGGATGTTTTTTACATTTACCATTCAAAAACAAGGTTTCATTTTATTTTCATTCGTTGCTCTCCTTCGTAACGTATAACACGTTCGAAAAACCTGAATGTTGACAAATAGCAATAGTTGAGATTTCAACTCCCAATTCAACCGAACGATCGACGTCGTTTTTAGGTGAAAAAAAGTTGAATTTTTATAACTATATCATTACCATTCGTATAGAATTATTATATAGATACATCTACAAAGGCCGAATTCGACATCATCCACGACTTCATTAATTCGACACATCTCGCAAAAATCGAAAGTTTTTGAATAAAATATCGTCATTGGCCGTATCGGCGTCGATGCGCGATGTGCAATGATGTAACGCGTCAAAAAATTCTGAGCTAACAAAACTTTTATGCCGCTCTCGTGGCGCATACACTTATGACACGCTCACAGGCTGACTTTGAGAATACTTTATTATGGAAAAGGTTTTTTTAAAGGTGGAATGAACATAATGCCTGTATAAGTGTTCGTAGACATATACCCACACACACGTACACATGTGTAAGCATCTCTCTCGCTCTTTTTCTCTCCCTCTTCTCTCGAGCCTGAAAATCTGTTACAAGGTGATATTGAGTCTCTGTGTGTGTATGTGACCGTAGTCGTGATTGCTTTCGTACGTGTAGACCGATATTCACTTTCCGATCGCTTATGCGATCGTATGTGTATGTGTAAAGTTCGAATCATCATCATAATCATCATCGTCGTCGTCGTCGTCAACGTCATCAACGTCATCTCGCTACGCACATTCGTTTGTATCGGTCTGCGTTTTGTAGTAATGGATGCTGTGCTATACAAGTCCGACACATAAATGTGTTGATACTTACTCGGCTGTTGCTGCTGCCGTTACTAATTTTTTCTTCTTCATTTTTTTCGACGTCGAGTATCCTTCACAATGCTATATAACACGTCGCTGCTGCGCACAACAACACCTCTCTGATTTCATTTTTATAAATCATTCATCCCGAGAGTCATCGTCGTTGGCGCGTCTTTTTTTTGTACCAACGTTTATACGAGATTATGTATAATGTGCCAAAGCCTCGGGCATAAACAATGTAAATATTATAGAGATTATTCGCAAAAACGAAATAGCCCAAGTCGAGAGAATCGAACAAGTCACGTGAAGATGGTATGATTACTATTAATGATCGTTTTTGTGTTCTCTCTTTCACTCTATAATAAACGCACAACTGCCACGATGATTTATCCACAAAACATCGCATCGTATGAGCAATATAAAGAAGAGTTGAATAAACTACTGTTAAGAACAATTTGTCGTTTTACTTATTGTGCGTGCAAGTACGTACGAAGTTTTGTCTATATGTGTGTACGCGCTCGCATTGCACATCCATACGATACGTCGTAGCCTTCGAATGACTGGCAGGCGGTTGCAGTCGCGCAAACAACGACTATTAAGTGCATTATTTGTCTCAACTGAAAAAGCCAAAGGAAAAAAGGGTGATAAGACATTACGCCGCGCTCTTGCGTGCGCACGTACATTAACACGCAGCACATACACGCAATAACAAGCAGTATGCACATTCATTTTGCTGAGGGCATATAAGCCATCCGTTCTCGAATCGAGAAGTGTAGCTCGAGCCTCTGCGCAAAGATGAGATAGGCGGGATATTTGTGTATACATGTGCACGTAATGTTAATGGTCGTCCGGAGCGAGAGGAGTCAATTTTCAATAATGTGCGTTATACGTACGACACGACACGGTGTCGCGATTGATATTTTCATCGTCTCGAAAGTGACACAGAGAGTCGGACGAGCTTATCACCGATAAGCAAAGGTTTTATTAATAAGACGCGTAGGCTATATTTGTCGCTCTTGATTTCGCTGAAAACGAGCGAATGTTTGTACAATTAGCGATGGATAAAGAGTTCGATTATCTTCCGGGTTCGCTGCGATGTCATCATCATAGTACAAAAGCCATAAAAATCTTTGTTCGTTTATGTCTTGGTCTCTTATGTCTTCGAGCTATAATTAGCGCTCAAAACTGTAAAAACAACCAACGACGAGAAAAAAATATTTTTTTTTTAATTTAATTTAGGAAGTCATGACGGATAATAGGCTACTCATCTTTCCGTGTTTATTGCTAATTGATCGCTCGTGATTTGCGAAAATGTAATTTAAATTCCTCACATAATCTGAAGTTGTGGGAGAGATAGGAATGAAATAATTTTAATTTTTACAATGTTAAAAACTCCACCAAAAAGTAAACGAAAAAAAATTAGCGAGCGCACCCGTGCGTTAACTCATCCGATCCGCACATATTTGCCAGCAAATAATCTGGCAGCATTCGTTCATGCGTGCGCACTTATCATGTCAAAAATCACGTATACATCAATGAGATTCCGCCAACTTTTCGCAGCTCGTCGTCGTCGTCGTCGTCGTCGTCGGATCGTCATCATCGCCGTCGTCGGTACAATTATAATGCACGTACATGTAGGTGTACACATGCATGTGGAGCACATTATATTTATGCCAGCGAGCACGCGTGCGAGCAAACCAATTTTAGCTGCAATTTTTTAAAAATAAAATCGCAAACGATAAAAAGCGTCGGAGCGGTGGTGGCGCAATTAATACGAATTAGCGCTTTGTGAACATAATCTCAACGCTGCGCTGCTCCTCTCGCGCGACTGTATTTCGCATCAATTGTTTTAAAGATCGGTATACGAGCACGCGCGCGCATACAGAGACGCATGTGCACACGGTAGCGACGGTGCACGAATATCGTTTCGCTGCTAATATCTTAAGTTCATGGCCGCTGCATATAATTAATTATTCAGTTTTTTTTTCGTCGGCTGATGATTGATTAACGTTACGAGATAGCTAACGTTCCGTAATACGATTGTTTGCTTTTTTCTCCCTCGTTCTCATTAAAAAGAAAAATAAATAAAACAATAAATAAAAATACAGTAAAAAATGATGATGAAATAAGCAATAACGTACTTATGAGGACTCTATCTGCTACCTGATAATGACGATGCCAAATGACGCCTGCAGTGTGTGCGCATGTGTGCATGTGCAAAGACGCCTTACGTGCGGTCGCATCGACGTCGATTGTTTAAATAAAAATAAAACTTTGCACGTACGCAGTCTATCTAGCGATATATTTTTATACACGCGAGGAACATTTATAGAGAGAAAGCGAAATTGAGTCGTCGTTCCGCTCGTGGCGCGTAAGTAAGTCTATACACAGTGGCGCGTAGGGGTGTGTCATTACTAGACACTCGAGAAGCCGAGTAATAAACTCTTACGTAATGTGTGCGCGAGTACACACACGTGTATACGTGTATAGAGAGCCTTGCGCGCGCGGCGGAATCGTCATCGAAGCTCGTCGCGAGCTTTACACTTTATGCACGCGCGCGTTTGCTTTTTTTTTTTTTTTGTTCTTGTCGTTTCGCACCGAAATTTCTTATCGGACTTGTGAACTCGCTGGTGTATGTACGCGAGTGATAGGCGATCTCTCATCAAATTGGCACTCGACTTTTTGAAAAATCACGCGAGCGTTATAATGTGGGTGTATGCCGTACGATGGCTCGCGATCGTCTCTCGGCGGCTCGTGCGAACTCGATAAATAACAAATATTCAAGCGCGTTTTGTAGACACGAAAAATCGCGAATTTTATCCGCGTTCAATTAAGGCCATCGCACGTGCTCCGAGTCGCGCAGAAAAAAATGTGAATACGACCGATTATACATATTGCATAATCTCCCACGTAGCGCATACACTGCGACGCGCGTATGCCTGTATATCAGGTATCAAAGCTGCTGTCCATGATAAAATGAACAAAAATGCCATTCGATGCGTCTGCGCTGTCAGATGGCTTGGCCGATAGAGAGTTTCTACAATTTCACCTCAAGATCGAACGGTCGATTTGCAACGAGCTGCTTCTCGAGAGCAGCAATGCGAAATTCGCAGAAGCGATCGATTCTCGGGCGATTATGTTAGCCGTGAAATGTTCTCTCTCTCTCTCTCTCTACTCTCTGCGTTGCGATCGAGTCCGCCGCGTGCGTAAGTGCACAATACACATAACGAAGAGCAGCGGAGTCCGCGTGTACGAGCGGAAAACGCGTACGTACGCAATACGTGCGCGCACACTGCACACATAACAAAGGAGGAACGACGCATGGGTACGTGAAAATCCGTATATACCGAGCGACGCGACGCAAGCACAGATCCTACCTGTGTGAGAACACGTGGTGCTAATAAGTGTGCCGTGTGCTGTTCCCTATCCTATATACCTGTGTAAGTGTGTGTGTGTGAGTGTCTGTGTGTAATACCCTACGTACTTACACGACTCGACCCACGTCATCGCCGTTCCTCCTCGTGCAACACAATCATCGGCGAGCCTTCCTCCCTCTCTGCTTGCGTACGTGTGCCTATATAGGTGTAGGCGTGTATGTGTGTGCTTGTATCGGGGTGCGCGCAAACAGACATCTTACACACGCGCAAACGTTATACGGAGCGAGCACACGAGTATCAACGATCGAGCATGTTTGCAGTACTGGCGCGTGTGGTATTGATTGAGGGTGGCCCATGGTCGTCTCCTAGGTAACGTTTTTCCTTTTTACCTGTGCGTTTGCACACCTCTGTCGGTGTGTGTGTCTCTCTTTCTCTCACACACAGTCACTCACTCGCTCTCTCATTCTATTATCCTATAAGTACTGCGTGTAAAATTGAATACAATGATTCTCATATTACTCTCCCGGGTATAACATGCATAGGATTAAATATAATAAACGGATTTATTGAAAGCTCAGCTGGAGAAAAAAGTTTCGAAAAGCTTAAATTGAAAGTATGCCGAAACCCCAAATCTCAACTAACTATAAATTGAAGAAAATTCATCTCAATTTTGGAATTTCTCTTTGTGCCGTTAAACAAAACATTTTCCAAAACATTTTCTCACAATCAACCAGATTGAAAGTGGCTTATACAAACATTGCAGGAGTATTTCTTGAGTTTTTCAAATTTTACGTTTATTTAGTTCAAATTCAATTTCTGTTGAAACCAAGTTTAGTTCATATTTAATTTAATTTAAGACCTGCGGTACACGAAGAACTTTTCTAAATAAAACGTAATAATAACAATAATAATTTAATTCTAGCGCAAAATTGACGTGACTGTCAATCGATATAAACTTATCTCTATGCAGCTAGCGAAGGCGTATCTCGAGCTTTTTCCAATTATTTATGCGTACATGTCGACTGGAAAACGAGCTCTACGTATACATAAAGCTATATGGCGCACGGAAAACAGTTTAGTCGACCGGCATAAATTGTATTAAGCCGAGCCAGCACAACAATCGACCTTTTCTCCTTTCTCCCACATCAGATATCAATTGGAGCTTTAACGAGCAAAGTTAATACTTGATTACGCAGTTCGATTTTTTTGCTGTTATGCGCGCGCCAGTGGAATCCTTGAATTTCTCGATCCGAAGCTAAATAAGTTTTTCATCTTTAGCTCCGTGTTCAACGCGGTTATTTTCATTTGTGAGAATATATTTACCAAATCTATATCGACACAATGAGTCTGGTTATATATAAAAAGAACATGCCTCGGTACAAACTATTTACGAGTTTAATAGAAAGTAAGTAAAGTGCAGAATTAGTTCGACTTTCGAAACAGTGATTGAAAAAACAAAAAAGCCACATATAATATTTCGCGAAAAAAGGCTAACGGTCGTGCATCTCTCAAAAAAATATTGCTTCCCAATAATTAGCTCTTGCTCCCGTTGCAGGGGGTATATTATATTCAAATTTCAAGCCTATGCACAACAGGTGCCGGAAAACTTTCCTACCCGTATACCGAGAGTCGGGGTATTATTGCGTTTTTTGAAGAAAATCCTGAGCCGCGCGCATAGTATACAGTATGACTCCGTGTTTTTAATGACTGTCGAAACGAGCGAAAGTGACGATAGATGCTTTCGACAAAGCGACTGCTCATTAAACTCCCGTCCGTGTAATTAAAGCACAACAGTGTGTTAAAATTGCCCCGGTCTTTTAGCGGACACGCGGAATCTTTTTTCCGCGAGTATTTTATAAATATAAAGCTAGCGCGATGGATCGAAAATGTGCACGCGGCTTATATATTTTATTATGCCGCGCGAGTCTGAAAACA